GGCATCCATTTTTTGTTCGCGATTTTCGACTGTTTTTTGGACATTGCTATGAAACACATATATGCACATATATGCAGCTTTGCCCCATAAAAAATCGCCTGTGCAAGGATCTACAAAAAACATCATTTTTCAAAAACCGTTTACGAGACCAAAAATATTCTTGAACCAGAAGACGTAGAAGATCCGGCTCCATAAACTTCGACTGTGGACAATTTTTTCAAAATATACAGGGTGCGCCGCAAATTCAAAAAAAAAAATGGAAAATGTAATAATAGGGGGATTATTGAAAATTGGTTATAACTGGACGACTACGATTCAGATCTCACTTTCTTTTATATTGCGATATAGACAGCAAAAACTTTGGTATTTCAAGTTTTCACCCGATATTCGGTGCTAAATGATAAATGATAAGTGTCTTAAATTTGCAGATATCAACTTCAAATTTACCAGAGAAGTAAAAGTCCGTATCCATATTTAAACGGTAAAAATTGCGTGCAACCAAATTTTACCAAGTAATTTTTTTTAATTTTTGAATTTTTTTTTGGTAATTTTAGCTTCTAGAAAAATATGTTTTTCTCCATAATCGTTTATCCGATCGGCAAAATTCTTTAACCAGCAGACGCGGAAGATCCAGTACAATAACATTTATTTCAGACATTTTTTCGATTATATACAAGGTTTTCAAATTATAGGAAAGAATCTAAAAGACTTAGAAAATTGTTCTTTTATAGAGTAAATTATTAGCCGCAAATCACAAATCGTAAAAAATATTGCTAATAAGCTGCTCGGGATATTTGAAAAAATCCATGTTGAAATCGTTATTCCGGGACTGTCAAGACGCGATGACGTCATTGATTATTATGGCGCACTGCATGGTTTCAGAAAAACCTTATTTTCTCGAAAACCATTTAAAATTTTCAAAAAATTCTTGAAACAGGAAACGTGGAAGATCCAGAGCTACCTCTATTTCGAACATTGTTTGAATCATATGGGCAAGAAATCTAAAAGATCCTAAAAATTTCCGTTTTTGTGGGTAAATTATTGGCGATAAATGAAAAACCGTTAAAGACAGGATAATTTTATTTGAATAGTATCGTAAGCTGTTTCGAGAGAGAGATTCAAGTTACCGATGACACTGGCTGGCAATGAAATCCTCCTTTAAATATTTTTATGATAAATATAATGATTCAAACGTTTCGCATCTATCCCCGTTGGCCGATTTTTTCTATCACGTCTAGATTTTTCGATAGGATTTTTTTTCATATTTCAAAATTTTGTTTTTTTTTTTTCAATTTTTTCATTCGTCGACGTTACAAAAAGTAAATATACATACAAAACGAGTTTCAGAGAGTTGTAAGAGAAAGGAGGGAAGTGTCGAAAGTGATTTTTATGGTAGTATTCATTGTGACACTGCAACAGTTCAGTGAAAACTTGTCGTTTAATTGTTTACTTTTTATATCAAATATTTTGGTAAGTTTTGCATAAAGTTCATGTTCTCTAAATTGGATTTAAGTATTTGATGTGTAGTTTGAGTATTTTTTTTTTAAGTAGAGCCAATAAATATAAAATAGAAGTTTGAAAGTTGTTTTAAAATTAATTTTATGTGATTTTAGGTTACAAAATGCCACGGACTTGTAAAAATTCCTCAGATTGTTTTTGCTACATTTGTGGGGAATACATACTAAAAACACAGTGACATGTCATGACCGATCTGGTTAAAACAGCTTATAAGCTATATTTTGGATTTTCTATGGATGAGCGAGATAAAAGTTGGTTGCCAAAAGTATGTTGCAATAGCTGCTCAAGAACGTTGAGAGGTTGGCTTGAAGAAAGTCACAAATCCATGCTGTTTTCAATGCCAATGATTTGGAGTGAGCCTCAAAATCATGAGAATGATTGTTATTTCTGCATGACATCTACACGAGGATTCTCGAAAAAAAAATAGAGATAAGGTTGTTTATCCGAACGTCCTATCTGCAAAGAGACCAATTCCTCGTGATAAAGACACTCCACCTCCAGAGGAGACTGAAAATACAAATATTTCAGGTCTACAATCTCAATCGAGTTTTGTTAATATAATTTAAGATTTTTTACTGTAAATCTCAAGCCGCCACATTTTTTTATTTCCTTATAATAATTTATACTTTAATAATATTGTTTTTTGATGAAATAAATATTAAATTAAAAACCTACGCGTGGTACTTATTTGTATATCAGATTCCGTTTTTAAAGCATAAAATAAGATGAATTCATGAATGAAAACAAGGAGGGATTTTTTTTTTGCAGACCAATGTGATTGCTGTACCTGATGTAGTTGGTTGCATAATGCCAAAATACTATGAAATAACTTGAGTCCGATTTAATTCTCTTTATTTTATAAAAAAGTCACGATCTAAAAGTCTCTGAACACTACCACTCTCGAAAAACACTAAATTACAATTAAAATTAGGGCGGTAAAAGCCAAATATTTAAGGACTTTTCCATTGTTGGGAGCTAGCCTGTTCCCTCTATTACCTGACCCTTTCGTTGAAATTCCCAGAATACGAATTTTGTTTTTACTTATCTTGACCGGTTTTCAGGCGACTTTGACCACGGCGGATCGCCTAGAAACCATTCCCGACGCCACTGAACTTGATACGTCGGATCTAATTCGGGCCAAATTAAATCTAAGACGATATTGTGAATAATAAAAAAATCGTATACTCCGGATCAAACTATACCTCTAGGAAACGGTCGTATATGGAATACGGACTCGTAAAAACCTGAGGAGCTCGTTGTTGCATCGATCGCAAAATCTCGAGATAAAACCGTGCCACGGGACGAACGTTAATTAACCCTGATATATAATATCTTTCGGAGAGGGGCGAAAAAAAAAACGCGGCCCAAATCGAGGTTAAAAGTGATAATTAAGGCATCATTACGCGAAAGCGAACATGAAGAGGATTAATAATGACGCCCGTGGCGTGCTCCGTCATATATCATGGCGGATACCAGGGAACGGAAGAGTAATAAACGGAACCTTAAGGGGATTGTAGTATCGTCGGCAAAACTAACATGTAATATCTTGCCGATTATTAAGACGAAACGTTGCGAAGCGATGTTCGTTTGTGAAACGGATGGCGGATGCCAAATGAGTTTACTTGCCTTTATACGTTCAAATCGCTTCAGAGTTTCGCTAATGAATATTATGCATTTCCGTCGGAAATTTGGAAATGGTTGAGTGTACCGTGCGTTCAGTTTATCTTGATAACATTTTAATTGGCTGTAACTTTTCGTTTTTAGAGATATCAAAGTAAACGAAATAAGAAAATGTATTGTTAGTAGCCCAGTTTTTTCCAAGTGACGTATTAACCCATTTTGTCCCGTCCAGGAAATATTTTTGCACATCCATTTAGAAATTTTATTATTATCACTACTAAAGGACATAAAACCGTAGAAATCGCTAATTTATGTGTAAAGAAAAGGCTTCAATGTTACATACATCAGTGTCACTCAAGTAAATCGAAAATAGTAAAAAAAATATTTAGGATTTGTATTACCATTTTTGTTAAGTCTATAGCATGTAGATGACATCGAAGAAAACCTACATTGGAAATACTATATTGATTATGCTTTATTTTTTGAAAATATTTACTGGTGCGCGAATGCACCACCGGTTTTATCTGTGAAACAAAACTTTGTTATTGCAAGTCTAGACAAGTCCTTGCGGTCAACAAAATTATCATGACGCTCTTGGTTTTTGAGATTACTTTAAAATTCGATTATTTAAATGGGTTTTATACCTTACGAACTACTATTTGTAATAATCTTTTAGAGTCCATTATTACATAAATTAATACGAAATAACATTATATCTAAAGAATATTAACAGAATATGATAGCTAAGACAGCTGTTCAAATTGGAGACCTTTTTGCCGAATGCAAAACTTATATTTTTAATGGCATAGCACTGCTTCAAAAGTTAAATCAATTGCGCCTCAATGTTCTGTGTTCTATATACTTTATATTGCACATATCACCGTAAAAATAAATAAATAATAAAAAATAAATCTAAAACAGGCCATCTTACAGATCTGTTGGTAACTAAGTCCAGAGTTATGACTTGAAGCACCATCTTGCTGCAGGTGACGCCCAACCCCAAAGCGTCCCTGTTTCACAAATTTCACAAATTAAAAATTAACATCACATATCCCGTTATCACAGTAATCCGATTGCTAAAGTTTTTAGACTTTAAAATCATAAGCATTATGAGGAAAATGAGGCAAATTATCTTTCTCTTGCTAATTTATGTAAATGAGAGAATAGAGTGTTTTCGTGGTTCAATTCCAATACTTGCCGATATACTGAAATCATTCACATCACTTCACAAAATTTTTAACAATCCAATAAAAAAGCAAGCAAATTGATATACTTACATAAAAATTAAAATACTCAAGCTATTGCCAGGGTTTCAGAAAAATTGGTAGTATAGAAAATTGCGATACGTATTTTTTCAGTGCCATAATATACCGCAAATATGTATATGTGTAATGAATATTTTCAAATTTGTTTTTAAACAAATAATAATTCTAAAATATCGATTTATTTTTCATTTATAAATATATAGCCCAGCTGTAGAAATTGATAGTATAGGGCCATCTATTAATCGCGTCCTTAACTGAACGCCTGTTTTCTTTAAGTTCGACTTTGGCGCCATCTACACACGAATTACCAAACTTCTAAGAAAACACTGGATCGAATAATGAATTTCTTCACTATGAAAACTCACAAATATAGTAGAATTAAAATCAAACAGAATACGAAGAAATTCACTACGAAATCGTTTTAAATAATGAGTTGGTGGGGTTTTTCAACTTTGCCTGATGAACAATACACACCGAAGTGTTCCCGGTTTTTTAGCGACTTTAATAAAAAACATAATATATTCACCAATTATACGCGTAAACAGATATTTTTTTAGGATGGGTGAAGATGGAACAACAAACAAATTCCGTGGAGTCAGGACCATATACTTAGGATGACAATTATACACTTAACATCAGTCGTGATAAAGTGGAGTCTATACAGGGTGTTCAAATAAGGGTGCCGCAAAAAATATGGTTAAGTAGATTTTCTGGCTGTAGTATTGGCAAAATGATCACGAAAAGATCATCTTCGAGGATCCCTTGGACAAATCAAATGATGAAAGAAAATTGCCGCCCTTTTTCGAACGCCCTGGAGAGGACCCAAGTGCCGAGTGGATTTGGTGACACAGAATCTATTCGCTGCTGGTTGCCATCACCGAAGCGTAAGAGTAACCTATTTTGAGTCTCTGCAACACACGAGAATGAAAATTGTAAAAATTTGACATAGGAATATTCGGGAGTCAAATTTTTGGACCGTTTTTGTGTTATGCGTGATCAATTAGTTTGCTAATTACTTTGGTGGATTTTGGGTGGTTTTGGTTAGTTTGGAGTTTGAAAAACATCCAAGAAATATAGCCCTAGATCAGGAAGAAGTACTAGGACCATTCAAATTAGCCCTAAATCTTGATGGAGCGATATTTTTACATTTTTTTTTTTAGAAATAATATGATATCGTTGTTTGACGAAGCACCACCTCATTTGAGAATATACAAAAAAATATAGTATTTTTGCAAAAAAAGTGTATACAGGTCCAGGCACCATTAAAGCTCGTATTTTAGTGGCAAAACTTTTAGTTTAGGCGTTAAATGTTGGTAAAAGGTCTCAGAGACTGAATTGGTTGCCAATGTCAATTCAGTAACAAAACTCTGAGAAAAGCCTACTGATTTCTGACAAATGGGTCAGAGGTTCGAGGAATCGAACTCAGCTCTGCCAACGAATCCTACTCTCACGTCCCCGAAGGCTGTATGTATATAGTCGCGTAGCTCCTGGGTGCATGGCGTACAGTGGATGTACGTTATGTAGCAGACGAGAGAGGGTGAGAGGCGAGTTCCTGGCGCCTGTAACTAACTGGGACTGATTGGCTAAGAGAAGACAACTCCGACAGAAAAACGGGCAGGTCGAGAAGCCCCAAGGTGGCAGCCCCACCACTCGTCTTACTCAACTACAGATCGGTTACCTGTATTGAGGAATCTACTAATAACTCACAAGCTTCATACAAATGCCTCGGATGATAGGACTGGATTATCTGCTGAACGACCCCGGCAAGTTAAAGGTAAACGAGTAGGTATAATTGATAAGCTAATATTAGGAACTTGGAATATGAGAGGCTTAGGAAATAAAGAACAAGAACTAAACAGAGTACTTAAAGAACGCAAAGCAAACATAATAGTCATAACTGAAACAAAAAAGAAATTAAAAGGAACTAAAGAAATAGACGATTACACAATGATTTACAGTGGAGTGGAACAAAATAAACGAGCCTGCTGTGGAGTCGGTATATTAATCGACCATAAATGGAAAACAAAAATCACTAGCTATACTTTTATAAATGAAAGAATCGTATCAGTGAGACTAAAATACGAAAGAGGCCATCTGACTATTATTGGTGTTTATGCTCCAGAAGAAGGGAAAAAAGAAGATACTGAATACTTTTACGAAACTTTACAAAGTCTAGTGAACAGATGTAATAAGAACGACGCTATCATTATAGCAGGAGACCTAAATGCAAGGGTAGGCAATATACCTATCACAGGAATTTTGGGTCCCTTCGGAGAGCCATGTCTAAATACAAATGGACAAGAACTGATACAGTTTGCTTCTTACAATCAGTTACGTATTACAAACTCATTTTTCAGACATAAGGAAATCCATAAATACACCTGGAGTGCTAGAGGCCAAAAATCGATAATCGACTATATCATTGTAAATGATAAAATTACCTCACTGATAGAAGATGTTAGGGTATACCGAGGCAGCGATGTCCATTCAGACCACTACTTGCTAATATCCACAATTAATATGCCTGCAAAATGGAAAAACACAAGTAAGAAACCCACAAACGAACTGGTATTCAAAGTATATCTGTTGAACGAGAACAGTGTTAGAGACCTTTATATAAGACGCCTGAACCAATATTTATCACAAACACTTAAAAGCGATAACTCCGACAAAGAATGGGAAAACATAAAGAGATGCATAGAAAGAGCAGCTTTTGAAAGTCTAGGAAAGAAGAAGAAGTTCAGAAATAAACATGGGCTAAGAATATGGAACAAAGAAATCGAAGAAGCCATTAAGAAAAAGAAAGTTTCATATTTGAAATATCTACAAACAAAAACAGATGAGAGTAAAGGGCAATATAACCTAGCTCGTAACACTGTCAACAGATTAAGGAAACAAATACAACAACAGTCTTGGGATAAATTCATCAGCAACGTGGAAAACGATATGCATGGACAAGCATTTGCTTATAAGGTAATTAGACAACTCAATAAAACTACAAAAGATCAGGCAAGCTTAAATATAATTGACGAACAAGAATGGACTAAACATTACGAATCTCTATGGTACAACCCAGATGCAGTAACATCAGAAGAAACAGAAAACGACGATATTTATGTGGGCGATAGAATAGACATCGACGAACTTCATGAGGTAATGAAAAAGATGAAAAATAGAAAGGCGGCGGGTCCAGACAACATCAACATGGAACTCTTGAAATATGGAGGACCGATATTAAATCTAAGATTATTGCACCTGTTTAATGAATGCTGGCGAGAGTGCCAAATACCTAAAGAATGGCAAGACACCCAAGTCATATCAATATTCAAAAAAGGGAAGAGAAACGATTGCAACAACTACCGAGGTATAAGTCTGATGAACTCTATATATAAAATATACTCTAAAATTATCAACAACAGAATAAAAGCAATCTCAGACGCCATTCTATTAGAAGATCAAAATGGGTTTAGGAAAGGAAGATCTTGCACTGACAATGTCTTTACTGTGAGACAAATCATAGAAAAACACCGCGAATACAATATTCAAACACACATCGCCTTCATAGATTTTGAAAAGGCATTTGACAGGGTGGACAGGAATCTTCTGTGGAAAATTATGCGCCTCCGAGGATACCCCATACATCTGGTGCGAACAATAAAAACCTTGTACGAAAACACCCAAATAACTCTAAAATTAAACAGTGGCGAATCCAAACCCATAAAGACAAACCAAGGCTTAAAACAAGGATGCAGTCTGTCACCTTCTCTTTTTAATATCTACATTGACCATATCTTGAGAGAATGGAAAAGACAAACAAAGAAGGGAATTAAGATCGACCAGAACGACTATATGAATTCCCTTCTATTCGCAGACGACCTCATACTGATACAAAACGAAAATGATCTCCAAAGCTCTATACATAAACTGAATCTACTGTGTAAGGAATACAATATGACAATTTCGAAGGAAAAGACGAAAGTTATGGCCTTTGAAGGTATGTACTCTGTAAGAACAAAGATTGTTCTAGACAATCAACCATTGGAACAGGTGTCTCAGTTCCAGTACCTTGGTTGCGAAGTAGGATATGACAGAGATAATGATATCTCTCAAAAACTACGTAAATTTGAATATATATGTGGAACAATCCAAAGAACATTAAAGAATAAAACAACGAAAGACACCAGAATAACATTCTACAAAACTATGGCAACTCCAGTACTCCTATACGGTTGCGAAAGCTGGGTACCAACAAAAGCAGAATATAGCAGAATACAAGCGGCCGAAATGAAATTTTTAAGAGGGGTGAAAGGTTGCACACGACTAGATAGATTTAGAAATGAAGATATCAGAAACGAATTACAAATATTTGCAATGACAGATAAAATAAAAGAATATAGACGCAACTGGAAACAACATGTAGATAGAATGCCTGATGACAGAATCCCGAAAATAATAACAAACTACCAGCCAATAGGCAGAAGAAGTGTAGGTCGACCCCGCCGACGCTGGAGGGATGTATGAAGCCGGAACAGACTATAAGTCTAAACCGTGAAGAGTAGAAGAAGAAGAAGACTTTTAGTTCTTATTTATTAAGATAAATGGATTTTCATCAAGTAGAATCCACCTCAGTTCCAACTTACTGACATTCCAGCTTCCAGCGTCATGGATCCGAAAGGACCCACGGTCAGTATGAGAGGCCGTTGGGATCTGACCATCATAATGAGGATCAGTGTCTTCGTCTCTGGATTCGACAAGTACCAATCGCTTTCGAAAAGCGCTGTTGCCAATTCCGCGCTCTGAAATAGCAATTAAATTTTGGGGCGAACGTCACGGCCGCGTAAACACAAACCTCGGTGAGGATTTCGTTGCAGTTCCACGAGAAGGTCATCAGCTGTGCGTAGTTGAACACCATGAAAAAAAACGCGAAGACTACTTTTTCCCCCTGAAACAACCTTTAGATAATTGCTAGAGTTAGAATAGAAAAAGTCAGGGACGCCTTCGATCAAGTAGCTAAATGGTTTAAAAGTCAAAGTTTCAACATAGACATCTTTAGATGGTATATTTTTCTTTATACTTTTCTATGGAAGAAAACCTTGGGCCTTCGAAATGTGGCCTTACAGAAGAATATTAAGGACTTCATGCGTGGATAGAGTGGAGGAAAGCATTTAGAACTAATGAACACCATCAAGAGAAACAAAGGAAAGACTCAAAACTCGAAAACTTAAGAACAACAACCCAATTATTTAGAGCAACAGTGAAAAACGTCGTTATAGTTATACCTAGTTTGATGGACAATATTCGAAAGGAATCTGAACAAGAAGATTCACAACTTGGAATTCAATTTTAAGCATCAGAAACCTTAGGAAATGGTCCTCAAATGGTCGGGTTGTAATGAAACGTGGTCTTTAGAAGCTTCAATGTTAAACAATCATGGTGTTGTCGCCGAACCACGTCATCAGATTGAGGCAGCTTCTATGAACTTTCTCTTCTTTCAGTGGGTTTCCTTTTGTAGAATTCTGTCCATTTGATCCTGATCCTTTCTGAAACTCTTTTAAGATACGGCATCGCGATTAATTGATTTTGAGTGATGTACTGCTTGGTATTTAGACTTAGTAATTACTTCTTCGACCTGTATCTTTGAATAACCGTCTCCGAATTAGATCTTCTTTAAATCGTTCAACTTCGTCGTTAATCTTACACGTAGACGTTTAAACGATGAAATAAGTAATTTGCAAAATTTGGCAACAATGTGCAAAGCCTAATATTCTGTTTCTAACATTCGCTAATTCCCAGTTTCAGAACTTAATAATTTAAATCTTACACTCAGTTTTAAGCGAAAACGGTAAATCAGAGATCCGTACTATGTCTCATTTAAGAGGATGGAATAAAGTATCATTCTGCCAAAGGTGGCAACACCGCGTATCTTAAGAAAATATTTTAAATTTAAATTAATTTTCGAAACGGTGCATCACAGACCCATACTCTTTGAAAGGACTATTCAAAAATGCAATAAAATGTAGGATGTTCTATTAAAAAAAAATGTAACTTTGTTTTACCGCCCTGTATATAAAAAAGTGACGATTAGGAAAATAAGAAAAATGAAGGTCACTTTAATAGAAACAACTTTTGTATTTAATTTTTTTTGCAACCCCCGTAGGCCTGGAGATAAGGTATAGGCCCCCCTTAAACGGGACACCCTGTACCATTCTCTAATTGGGTAGGTCTCCACCAACGTTTAGGCAGTAATCCCATAGCTCCACGATGCCTTCCAGTGGTAGGATGGTTCTTTTTGATAATGTTGAATGTTCTTCAAGCTTGGTCCTAATAACATCGTGTTGAAAACGTTTTTTAGACAATGGAAGTTTGAAACGCCAGTGTTGATTAATTAATTGTGGTTGTATGGTTGCTGCAGGTGCCTAATACCCCAAACATTTATGATAAAAACTTAGTTTGTGATGGTTTCTTTGCAAATTGGAAGTTCATCTTGTCAGTTCTGCTCTCTAAAGATAAATTACACTTACGGACACTATCTGGAAGATCGCTCCTGCAAACATGATTGAGGACGAGGTGTACTCCAATAGAATGATGTATTTGAGGGCTTCGTTGAATTTTTCCACGTACCTGCGTAATGGGAAGAGCTTATTAAAAATAGGAACCCTTTTTCAGACAAGAGTTCAATTTGCCAGTGATTTTCGAAGTTTTTATGAGCTCTTCTATTGTTTTACTATTTTTTTTTATTAACTGTTTGCCCCAACATTTCCGGAAATAAGTGTCTCCAAAATAGTTTAAGGAATTTTAGTAAACTTGGAGGCATTTAGAAGGACTTTTCATAACTGCAAAAAAACGCTTCTACATTAATAACTCTATCCTGACACTATCTTTTACTCTACCCCAAAGGTAAAAGTCCATTACAGTAAGGTCTGGAGAACTGCCAAGCCAGGGAAGCAAAGTGCCACTCCCTACCCAACATTTTGGCTTAGTCTAAAAACTTCTCGCTTGTAAAGACACCTTTGCTAATAAAATCGGCAAGTTCACACCAAACGTTCACACTCCATCGACATTCATACTTCACTTCACGCATCCAATGAGGATTCACTGGCACATTATGTAAGTTGATTCCTTCATTGCTCGAAAAAGTAGCATATCTTGGAATAACTATAGATACCAAACCAAGTTTTGAACTTCATATTGAAAATATAGTGAAAAAAGGTAGAAAAACATTATGTCGGAGAAAATGGTAAATTCAAATGTTGGAGAGATTGTCTGGATGCATAATTTAAAATTGTTCGCTCAAAAAGGCCGGACGAATAAGGCATAAATCTTTTTAAATAGAAGACCCTATTTGTTTCCTATTCCTTGCAAGAAAATTACCACAGCATAATATTATTTTTGATGGTCGCTCATGGAATTAAATACTAATACTTTTTCTGGAAGACGTTACAAAATCCTGCAACTTTTCATGTACTTGTTTTTAATACTTTGCCAGTTATTTTAACGTTTTCATTATTTGACCTTCTTTCTGTCTAACACTATTTTTAAAATTTAAAATTTTTACCTGACAACTGAGTAAATCATTTTATAAAATTTATGGTGGTGTCAGTAAATTACAGGAAAACTAGGTATGTATTTTCCTATATCTAGCTGAATTAATTACATGACAACTGTTGCTTTTTGTACTGGGTTATTCATTAAATTTTGACACCCACCTACAGGGTTAATTTTAATAATTATTTTATGCAAATGTCAGAAAAAACAAACAATGATAAAATGGAATGCCCTATATATTATTAGCTTTAATCGTAAAACTTTTTTTCCTGATTTAAAAAACATATAGATTATTATTTAGCTGTTTTTGAGAAATTTCAGTTTAAAAATAATTATCATTCGATTTCTGGACAATAACCATATTCTTTAAAAATGGTCAAGTCTGCCTTGATAGCAACCATGTTTACAATTGTTTTAACAAAGTTTTACTTTTGACAACTAACCAAAACTAAAGATCTACAGCGTTAGTTAACTTAAGATATTTCAAATGAGTTATACTGAGGAAGAAAAACGCCAAATAATAAAATTATATTATTCAAACGGGCAAGGGTTTAAATAGAATATCGTTAAATATATCCGGGTAGAAGCGTTCCTTCAATAAATATAATTAAAAATGTAATGAGACAATTTTAGGACCGAAATAGTGTTTACACGGAAGACCAGGACAATGAAAGAAGTTTAATAATTAATGAAATAATAATAATGTTGAACCGGTTAAAAAATAAAATTCATTATAATTAGCCTCAAAATTTACAAGTGATAATTATTTTAAACCTGAAATATCTCAAAAACGGCTAAATGAAAGGTCAATCAATTATATGTTCTTGAAATCAGGAAAAAAAATCGAGTTAAGCTAATAACCTTGACGTTGCTGTTATTTTGACAGCTTGCGATCGTCGTTTGTTTTTATTTTTTGACAATTGCATAACGTAATAGAACAAAAATCGTCAAACTTCTGTATTTGCCCATTTTTCTATCTTTCAAAATTAACCTTGTAGGTGGGTGTCAAAATATAATGAATAGCCCTGTACGTGTCACTCATTTATGAATCAAGTAGCAGTAGAGTTTTTCGCTCAAAATAAATTTCATTTATTTGCACTTTCTTACTCGTTTAAATTAAGATAAATGTAATGATTTTTAATGCAACACTGCAAATTATGACGTCAGTCTGTCGTGTTACGGTACCTTGTTTTACATAAAAACTTAACCTAATACACACCCCCATCGAGTAGAAATAACTCTTACGCGATAAGCTCCTGGTGTCTCCTGCAAAGCAGCCTCAACTTGCTCGTTCCTCCGCCATCGCACCATCTAAGATCTTCAGGTCCGCCACCGTACTTATCAAAATTCCTGAAATGGTGCTGGAGCAGTTTGATCTGCAGCCGCATGAAAACCATCAACGAGTTGATCATCGCCGCAACCGAGTTCATCCCCGTGGTTATCCCTCCGACCCGCAGGCACTGGTCTAGCAGGAGCCAATGGTGGTACGCGTTTTTGTCGAACGGGTACCAAAAATTCGAGGGCAGGGGTGCGTTCAAAGACACATTCGGTGGTTTCGAAAGCCAATCGAACCTTATTGTGTTTTCTATGCCTGAAACAGATGTTGCAGGAACCTTCGCAGGCGTGGACCCGAAACATCGTACCCATCTCGCAAAGCAGCAGGTACCCGAATATGACCGGAACCACAAGGACCAGCAGGATCTTTTTCCAGTACTCCACGTGCTGTTGCAGGATTTTTATGATTTCAGGATCGGCATTACCTGCGATCTCGGCGAATTGCTTTGAAGCCGCCTCGAATAGGTCAACGATGCGTTTTTTCTTGCACATGACGAGTTTCGTTACCACGATGGCCACCACCAACGCTCTGGCCACGTTCTCCATCACTGGAAAAACAGCAGTTTGATTTGCAGAGAACGGTTTATGATTTTCTGGTCGGATAACGTCTCGGATCAACCTCTACAAAGTTGACGGCACTCCAAACGAGAAATGAACAGTTAGAGCACACCAAAATAATCGATTGGATGATATTTTCCTGGTACGAAAAGTCTTATACTTGAACCCATTCAAAAAACCCAATAATAACTTTAATGTTTAACCATATACCAAGTAGCTACAGAACTTCCAAGTAATCCCCCTCCCCCTACAGATATAATAGACTTGTGCCAATGTTTTTTTCAATCCTCGAAGCATTTTTTTCTTTATCTCCTCAATCGTTATCTCCAAACCTCCTTGCTTTCATGAGTTTCTTGAATTTTGGGAACAGGAAAAAGTCACAGGGGGCCATATCCGGTGAATATGGTGGCTAAGGCGTGATTGTGGTTTTGTTTTTGGCCAAAAAGACACAAACAACGACGAGTGAGTAGGACCATTATAGTAATGCAAAATTCATATATTGTTTTCCCAAAATTCGGGATGTTTGGAAGGTCTTCTCGCCAAGGACGCATTACTTCATGTTGACCGTACAACCTTGTGGTAAGAACTCTTGATGTACTATGCCACAATAATCAAAGGCAACAGAAAACAAAAGCTTGACATTTCATCGAACTTGACGTGCTTTTTTCGTTCTTGACGATTCTGGGTTCTTCCATTGGAACGTCTGGTCTGGTTTTTAACGGTTCTTTTGTTCAAAATAAAGCAGTTTCGGAATAAATTTTGCTGATACACGTTTCATTCCTAAAATTTCAGGCACTTCTCTAATAGTAAGTCTTCGCCAATGCTAAGGCGTCCAGAGAACAATATTTTTTTGCTCAAAGAGATTTACCATATGCCGTTGTCAATGTTGCATGTGATGTGCTGTGCTCTATTCCATTTTATACACAAAACTTTATTCAAAATCTTTGTTCCATTTTTTTCGAACACCCAATTACAAAAGTCACCGTACTTTTTGAACACTCCTCGTATATTTAAAATAAAAGTTATGTTATAAGAAAACATTTTTTTAAAAGTCTGATGTTGAGAAAAGTCAACGTAAGTTTAAGTTATTTATATCACTTCTAAAACGAACGAAAGACGGAGTTTTATTCTTAATAATTTTGCAAAAAAAGGTTGCGGCATGAAGTCTATATCCCTTAAACATATTAACCCAACCAGATTTTTTTAGGTAAGGTGTTATGTGGTCTCTGCGCCTCACTCCATATACCAGCCTATGACATGAATTTTGCACTTTCTGAATGCGATATTTTTCAACAGTATCAAGGCAGGGCATGTAAACACTATACAATGCTTCAGTGGTGATACCACAAAAGTATCACACAGGTTTTTTTTTATACCACGAGGCAAACAATGACGTTGACTCTATATTAACTTTAAATTACTATCACAATTAATCCTCTGCTCTGCTGTCTGCAAATCTGCACCGTTAAAAGAATGATAGAGATGGACGTCATCAGCATAAAGGTCATATTTACAGTATTTTAAACACAAACAAAACTAAGTAAAGTAAGTAAAGTTTGTGAACAGCAAAGGACCCAAAATAATTCCCTGTGGGACTTCGTTTTAAAATAGTTATGGAGGTAATAAAGATCTGTTGGAACACCTGGTGATGTATGCCTTGAAGATGTAAGGAGTGAACATGTAAATGGCGATTGCTCTCTAAATCGTGTTGACGTTCACCAACGTCTACCCAAGGAGCAAACTACAAAAGAATTTGGTACTAATCTAGAAAGTTTTGCTTCGTTCTGGGTCACCTATCTTGAGATACATCGCAATGGACACTCCATAAGCCTTAAAGCCAGATTCAAATTGTATGGGTGATCTTTTCGGATGCAAGGTTGTCAAAAAATGAACCCATTCAACAGAGAATTCCTCAGGATCGAAAACAACAACAAAAATTTGGTACGGGAAATCCAACAACTAATTTAAGATGTTTTTAACGTACTGATTCCAAAAATGCCATCAGATTTTTTTTCTATCAGCTCTAGATTTTGAGATACAGGTTAATTGATATTAGTTCTGATAATGGACCAAAAAAGGAAGCAAATATTGTCAAAATTAATATCAGGAACATAGCGTGTTGGATGTTGGTCATTTTTCTACCATGAATTAGGACTTCGAAACAATTGCTAAAATACGAAGGACATCAGTAGGAAATTTGAGTTGATTTAACAATGATTAACTTCCTCCTTGGACAGCATATTCCAACGTAGCCAAAAATGAGCCTGATCGTCACTAGATGCTTCAAGGAAAACAAAATGTGACCAAAGAAACTTTGCTTTCGAAGGAAAAAATTGTTCTTTCGCCTTCACATATTAAGCTGGCCCTCAAGAAAGGCAACTTGTGTTAGTGTTTAAGCAGTACAAAATGTTCTTGGTGATCACAAAGCAGAGAATTACGGAGAATTAGTGGAAACCATTCTTTCAAGTTTCCCTTTCCAGGAAGATTCCATCAGGACAATGTTGAGATCGTTATGAAGAACGATGGGATAGTCACATTATACTGTCAGAGACTTTGGCAGGACTGTCCTAGTAAATTCTATTTTAGAAAGTGATAGGTGACTACACTAAATCAATATTTCATAACAAATTCTTAAATCCGTAGTCGTGCTTAAGACAAATTTCGTACCTGCCGTTGAACTTTCGCTGATCAAATTAGGTATCTCTATGGCCAACGAAGTGGCCATCGAGGCACAGTATACGGGAAACGCCATCGAATAGAACCGATAGAAAATTACGAACGCGAGTGATCTTTTTGACTCGTCTAGCATCCAAATGCCCCCCGACATCATAAACCATTTGACGTGGCTAAAGAACTGCGGCGAGGTTTTCATCCCGGACGCTATATGGCGATGAGTTCAAAGGGTTCACCACTTTATACACGTAGTGATACACCCTCCAGATTAACGGTTAACGTGTAAAAATACACGACGCCTATCCAGCGGCGCGCCCATGTTATAGACAACCACTTTTCTTAACTTAAATCAGAAAAAAATAATTTTGAAAATTTATTTTAGATTTTTACACAAAAAGCGAAGCTGTTTAATATGAGCGACTAGCCTCTCAAGAAAAAAAAGTCGCACCTTTTCTTACGGAGTCTTCTCCATTTCACTCCTTTAAAATCACCGTACTCTTTTCGCCCGAGCTTTTGCTTCAATTCAATTCTCAAACTTCTCTTGTCCACCATCAACACGTACTCTATATATCAATATAATCATAATCATAAAATAACATTACATCTCATTATAATTTTTTTTTACTTTAAAAAATAACTTTTCTGCTTTACTCTGCAACTTATTCAGTGTGTTCGCTGGTAACTCGTGAGTAACTAAATTTATATTCTTCAGAATAGTATACAAACATAAAAGTTTTGGCAGACATCGAAAAATGTAAAATACTCACATTTCACCTGGAATTAAAGCAAACATATAACACCAAGCAAAAAAAAATTGACAGAACAATGAAAAAACGGCAAAAAGTGTACTCAAAGGTGAATCAGATTTGAGGGATCAGCTCAGGCCTACTAATATAGGATCAGTCTTGCCCAAAACACCTATCAAATACATTGTATCCAACTGCTGACGACATCGTTTCTGATGTTGAGAGAGCCACTTCTCTAGTGCTGCAGAACTACTACTAAGCTTTCGATTGTCTGTTGCGTTTATACAGGATTATCTACACAAGAAACAAATTCGTATATCATCTGTAGGAGATGTACTCAGTAGCGTTCTTTCTTCTTCGCTCAAGGCTTCAACACAACTTGGAACTTAATATTGTGCTGTTTGTCATGTACTAAAACATCTATAAATTTAGAAACAGAGAGAGCGAATATATTGAGGTTGAAACCTCACATGAATGTTTCCAAAAATCAAATATAAATTTAAAGATGTTGTTTCCTCACCACTTGCTATCTGCTCCTCAAAAGATTAGACTTGATTTTACGACATTTTAACTATGCAAGTGTATTCGTAAATACGAAGGAATGAGACCAAATGGTTAGTCATGAAAAATAGGAAATTACTCTCGTTAGTTTCCATAACATTTTATTAACCCTCCTTATTTTTTTAATTAAATCGAATCTAAGACTGACCTATTGTATATAGTCTGGTATTAGCATCAACGTTTGTTCATGCTGATAAAGAATGTGGGGTAATATAAACTGTAACTAGTTGGTGTTAGTTCCTTTTGCCTCGATTACGTCGATACTACCTATTCTCAGCATTAATAAATTTTATGTTGTGTAATATGTCTGCATTAGGTTTTTTAACAGTTATTATTATTACTACTACTATTATTATTATATACCCCATTGGGCCCTATTCAACTTCCTTTGTTCATAATTATCCGGTCGGCGCAGCTTAAAACCGCTTTAATTCGAAATAATGTATTTGGCGACGGACGCCACTGGCTAGGGGTGAATTTCCTATTCAGAAACCAGTCGGGGGCGAAAAACGTTCGATTGCTATGAACCCTTTCATCGAGATAATTATAAGGCATGGCGGAAAAACTCGCAAGACAATATACATTATATAAGAGAGCTAGCGTAAAGGTAAATAGAGGCCTCACGAAACGGTCGGTATCGGTCGGGGCTGCACCAAAATGTCGTCCGTACAAATTTCCGAGTTGTCGGTGATAATTAAAAGTGAGGGAAGGTGTGGTCGCGTATTTTCCAAAGTGCTAATTATTGTAATAACGAGAGGGAGATATACGATGTGGATTTTACTGTTCCAACCTGTGATTAGCGTGAAGAAATTACAATCAAAAAATGGAATATACAGGGCCCTGCTGGTTGTAGCTAATGCAAGTTGCTCGTATGAGGCCCATGTAGTTTTACATGTTTTTCACTTGTCAACCAGAGAAAAGAAGGAACAGTAAATAATGACTGAAAGTAGAAATTATGATTGGTGATCAACTAAACTTGGTTACATAGTAAATTTTTGGCTCTAGCATTTTTTTTTCAGAAACTATTCATCTGACCCAATAAATAAACATGCTATTTGGAACACAATTGAATATTCTTTAGTATGAGTTTAAATTTGTCAAGAGTGCTGATCTTTTATATGCGTATCTATGGTTAAACAAACGAAATGTTAAAAAAATGAAAAAAAAATTATGCATGACAATGCTAGGACACACACTTCAAGGACCGTGCAATGGTACATTACAGAAGTAGGTTTTCGAGTTACGGAGTGGCCAGCATGCAGTCCCGATCTCAATCCAATGGAACATTTATGGGATGAGCTAAAACGGAGAATTCGAGCTATACTTCGTACCCCAACCTCGACCCCATAGCTTGTTGTTGCAGTAGAGGAAGAGTGGCTTAACATTCCACAAGAAACAATAGCGAACTTGATTAGATTTATGCCTAATCGAGTTAGCGATTTTATTAGTAATAAAAAAAAACTTAATTTGACACGTGCAGTTATTTTACTATGCTAAACCTAAAAAGCATAACTAAATTTTAATCGATTTAAACATTAATTGTCTTTCAGGCAGCATTTTTTTATCTGAAAAGTAGTTTCTAAGAAAAAATGAAATGAAGTCAAAAGTTCACAATGGGCCGATTTCTATGCACGCAAGTTTACATTATTTAGTTCTTATACTTCAAGAATTGCAAAAAACATTACTGTCTAATCCTGAACCTGCGAAAATATACGAAATTCAACGATATACAACGCAGTATGATTTTATATTGTTTACATCACAAAAATGGCGCTTCCATTAAGTTTTCAATGTGTTGAATAAGAGGAAATAATATCCAAATAGACACACATGTTAATTCATTAAACAAATTAATTACTACAAAAAATATGTAAATCATAAAAAATGTTCAAACAAGTGACCATTATTTTCCAAATACTCAACCACTGTCGAATTTAAATCATTTCCTAACATATCATTTTCAATGCTTTGAAAAGCTTCAAGAACTAGTCTTCTCAGTCTCAAAAACTCGTTGGTAAACATCATTTTTTAAATTTAAATAAATAAAAATTGGTTTCATAAGCGCACCATACTGCTTATGATTTTTTAGTGCTCGGTAGCTATTGAAATACGCCCAACTCAACAGCAAAATGGCGCAACAACGTTAGAAAACGGAATAAACAAGTACTTTGCTTAGAATTTAATTGTTTGGGTTTTTGTTAGGAAAGATTGTTTATTTATGTATATATTTTTAAATTTAAAATAACATTACAAATTACTTTTATGACACACTTAAATTACTTAAAATTATTCATATAATATATCAGTACCACTATCGCTATCAACGCCTGTTCTAATTATTATTTGTTCTATATTATTTGCTATATGGATATACGATTGTTCTGCTTTTTCTATATGTTTAACAGAATTTGCCCAACTTTGTGGAGGGATGTTAAAAACTTCGGTTTCTATAAGTTTGAGGACATTGGAGTTAACACGGGGAAAACATTGTTACGACGAATGGCAGATTTCAGTTGGTGCCAAACATGTTCAATGGGATTAAATATACAGTGGTAAGGTGGAAGCCTTAAAACTGTATGTCCAAGATTTTCTGCATAATTATCACAGACGTATTCCTTTTGTAGGTTCAAGCTTTGTAGAACCTCACTTAATTGCTTTTTGATATAATCTTCGTGAAAATAAATGTCGTTATTATACATGTAGTTTTGGTTTTGGTTTTAGTCAATTGTGTACTGTGATAATTTGCATTGTCCATTACAATGACGCTATTAGGAGGAATGTTTGGAACTAGTTGGCTTTTAAACCAACTTTCAAATAAATCAGCGGTGGTGTCTTCATGGTAATCCAGAGAAGAATCTTTAATATTTTTCGCAGACAGAGAAAGTCCATTTGGAACCATCTTTAGTGCCAGCATGCAAAATAATAATTCTTTTACTTCTTTTTGATGGCGCGTTTGTTTTACAACCATCAATTAAGTCAACCCAACCCTTTTCCGTTGTATCATAAGTGTCGAACCAGGTTTCATCCAAGTAAATAATTGGATTTTGTTGTTCTCTGTAAATCCTAATTTTTTCTAGATATTCCAGTCACCATTTCGGAATTCTAAAAGATTCCATTAAAACTTGCCTTTTGTCAATTTTTTAAATCTAAAACCTATGTGTTGAATACACTTCCGTAAGGTAGTTCTGCCACATTTAACACCGGTTTCATCTTTTTCAAGCCTCCTAATTAAGATATCTAATGTAGGCACGCTTTGTTCCTCGTATAACTGGTAAATTTTACGCCGTATTATATCTTGATCACTTTCATCTACACTTGGGAAAATGTCAGCATCGCTTCTTTTTTTCGTCACTGAAATGGGATTAGTCATAATTTTCCATACAGTTGATGTTAGAATTTTCGTCGATGTGGCCGTTTCTTCTAAAGATGCTTGCTTGCTGGCACCACGGTCAATGAGAGTCAAATAAACATTATTTATAATTTCCTTAGTCTCAGTAGAATAGTGTTTTCTACATTTGGGCGGGAGTATCTCCTGGGATACACTAGACTCGCACATATTTTGCATAATTCAACACATGCTGTATTACACACGAAATAAGAATGATTACTAATAAACTTAAACTAAGTAGTATACCAAACCAAAGAATATTACACAGGTAGATATAAAAGTATTTTCTATTATTGACCACAATTTTACCTGAATTTAAATTCCGAAACTTTAGGTAATAATCTTGTTGCATTGCATGTTAATGACCACCCTTGGATAATCCCATTCTAAAGCAATTGGGGGATAAAACCTTAAATAAGGTTGTTGTCAGAATTTAAGTTTAATAATGCAGAGGTATTTAAATTTCATTGGTCGTATAAAAATACATTTTTTTATATTTAATTTTTTTAATCTCCATGGCTTCCAATAAATTTAATTTTCTAATTTGTGTGGCTGTATGTAAAATATCAAAATTGTCGTCAAGAATGTGTTTTTCTGTGATTAAGTGTGTAGCATAATTAGCATCTAGACTATTGTTTTTAAACGCTCTTTTATGTTCGTTAATGCGTTTCTTGAAGGATCTACCTGTTTTTAGCTATTTTTAAACCACATTTTGACAAATGTTTTGAGACTTTTTCACTAGGTTCTCCTATGTATGTAATTGTTTAAATGTAAAATCTGTTCTGAATGTAAATCTGAGCAAAAGAAACATGCCCATGAAATGTGTAGTAAATCTACAGTAGCCAGTGTTTCTTAAATATGGCGTACCAGAATATTTCAGGTCTGATAATGGTGTACAGGATAAAAGTGAAGAATTTCCTAGTTTATTTGAAAAATATGGCGTAAAACACAACGCTTTTCTAATCGAGTATACTTTCCTGAACCAAATTTGTCATTTTTAGAATCTGATCAAAAGAAATCGAAAACTCTGATGGAAATTCTAAAATTGTTCAAGAAAATGATTCGTGAGTCAAGGTTGAAAGACTTAAGGATATTTATAAACAGGAAAATGGGGGAATCACATGAAAAATATCTTAGACACAAAACAGTACAGTTTAATGTAGGTGATAAAGTTTGGAAAAAGAAATATTGCTTATCAGATGGTAGTCAAAACTTTACTGCTAAGTTAGGCAAAAAAATAGTGGACCTTATAAGGTGATGAAGAAATGAGGCATTTACATGCACGAGCATTTCTCCAAAGGGCCGAGAATAAACGAGAGCAATTCTCAAGTAATTTTAAACAACTTGATGTGAAGCTATTATCTTGGTTAGTTTGGTTGGTTGGACGAGCCCGAAGGATTTGCGAACCGGAGAACCTCCAGATGGAACTTGAACACCTAAAAACTGCGTTCGAGGCAAATGGCTACAGTAAGAGAGAGATCGAGAAATCAATGAACTCAAGATCATCAAGATCACGGGATACCGAACAACGACCCTCCACCTCTCACGCATATCTGCCGTATATTCCGAGTGTCACCGACAGGATTGGCAGAGTATTGAAAAGACACGACATCAAAACAATCTTTAAGCCTACAAAGAAGATCCAGCAGACCATCAGGTCAGCGAAGGACAAGAGGGGCTCACTTTCAGCTGCAGGAGTCTACCGCATTCCGTGTTCATGCGGAACGGTCTACATCGGGACTACCAAGAGATCAATGGGAACGAGACTTAAGGAGCATAAAGCAAGCTGCAGGCTAGGACATACAGAGAAGTCTGCAGTGGCTGAACACGCACTGGGCAGCGGGGAACACAGGATACACTTTGAGAGCTGTAAGTTACTAGCATCGGTCAACGGCTATCACAACAGACTAGTCAGGGAAGCCATTGAGATTCAAAAACACCCACACAATTTCAACCGAAAGGAGGAGACCCTTAGACTCAACCAATTCTGGAACCCGATCCTTAGGAACGCCCGAGCAGTACCGATCGATATCCCGAGACCAACCGGAGCGGAACAAGTCCCGCCCACCACCAATCGGCATAAATACAACCTGCGCAGGAGAAATCGTCAGTCTACGTCCAACATCGGAGATGGAAGGACCTCTGAAGAAGCTCGCCACTCGTGCTAGCGAAACGTTAGGAAGTAATTCCAATCGACGACGGCCTTTAAACCCGAACCAAGATAATAGCTTATCAACGGGCCGCGAAAGCCTTAACCAATTTGATGTGAATATTAATTATCTTTTGGATAATTTATTTACGACTATACAACGACATAAGTTTTTTGAAAATCCTATTATGACAATTTTTTTATAGAATTAAGGGAACTATTTGACAACTAAATCACGCCAAAAAGGAAAAATTCGCTACTAAACAAAAGTGTATTAAAGAAGCAGATAAAATGATTCTACTTTTATGTAATTTGGCTTTCTAAATGGCTAATGACAAAAAGCTATTGATAAGGATCATTTATCGTTTTAGAAAATTCAATTATCTTTAAGAATATGTAATTTATAAGAACAAATCACTCTTGCTAAACTAACCCCTCCTGTGACTTTCCGCCCAATTTTGGTATTAAATCTCAGTAATAGCGATATATTTTATATTATTTTGACAGTACTTTCACCGATAACATTATCTTTTCCTTCATATACTTAACTTACTTTAATTTTTTCCTTCTAAATAGAGCAAAGTTAAGGATCTTTAGTAGCTTCAAACGTATCTTCCCTTATATTTTCACTTGAAACAATAGTCTTGAACCTTCGTCGGTGTTGGTCGCTACGTTTCTCTTTGCGAGGGTCACTACAAACCTTCGAACGTCATAAAATATGCCTGACAGTACGTTTAGGAGCATCTGCCACCTCAAAGCTGATGCATAATTCAAAATTTTAAAACGTTGACACCGTGTTAGGAAAAAATACGGCGTGCCTTATAATTATTGAAATGAAAGGGTCGGGACTGGAAATATTTTTCCTCGGCGTCGGATAAAAACAACGTGCGAATCCAGAGGCGTGCGAAAAAAATTTGCTATCGCACAGAGGTACAGGAAATCAAAATAACAGTCAGAAATATACGAATGATAAGAGGAACTGATAATGCACATGTATATGTTACCTCAACTCAAATCATAAAAAAGGATATACACTATTAATTATTGAGATCAATTAGCTTAAAAATTCGAGCATTAATTGCGATTATGTAATTACCTGCTTCTTTTGACTTTTGCTGCCGTCGCGGCTTTCCACAAAATCTTTTTACCTCTTGCCTCAGACCCACTGTCACGTATCTAATATTGCACCCAAACCATTAAAATTGTCACATGTAAAGTAAAGTTTATTGTAAAGTTTTGCATGACCTCCTAACATTCACGTTAAAAACTAACATTACAAATTATGTGCTACTGAAATTCACCTAGCTAGCATTACGTTAATTGCAGAATTTGACATAATTAAAAAAAACGTGATTGTTATACAACCTGCACGTACTAGGGGAAAGAGATGGAAAGGTGAAAAAATATGAACCCAGTATCAAAAGCGTTAGGGACAAAATACATATGATATATACAACTGGCTTACACTTCCTGCAAATATTTTGTAATTAGAGAGGTTTCTTATGCTAGTGGCTGACAATTATATAACTTTGGGCCCTAGCTTGCAACAAATCTGTGGTTACCGTCCTTTCCATAGAAAGGAACAGATAAGTTCTGGTTTGATATTCGTCGAGTTTGATATACGTGGTCTATCTCTAAATTTGTATTTCTCTTCTGTTATTCTAGATGTGTTTCACATCCATCATCCCCCGTCTAGCATTAGATAGGAACAAAATTTCTGACTAAGCGGACTTAGCGATTTGACGTTTTAGATTCCTGATAACCCAAAAACTTCCCTCGTTATTTACTTACTACCTACTGCCACTTAAACAAAAAGACGACTATATAAACTTAGACATCTTGATCTAATAATAACTTAAACCCCTGCAGTCGTGCGATTTTTTCAAGCAAATGCGGAAACAGAAGAAAGTTTGCTATTTGAACTCATAAAGGTCACCTAACTTTCACTTAATTTTTTCAACTTCTATCTACATTCTTAATTATTGAAATTCTTGTTCGGATTGAGTTGAGAATACCTAATGCTACAAGAATAACGTGAAGAAAATTTAACGGAGAATTTCATCTAAAAACATAAAAAACTTGATATTTCAAACAATGTTTAGAATTTTTGGAAGGGATGGTCATAATTTAATTTCATTAAGCCAATTACAAAACTTCGTTTTAGGTTTAATGTGTGGGCCGGGATTTCTAGAACAAGTTTAATAGGAGTTTCTTTTACAACGGTTCTGTTAACTTTGAGTTATATGGCCCCCTTGTTCGCCGGACCTTACTCCAGCTGCTTTTCATATGGCGATATAGCAAAAATTATGTTTACCAGAAGGGAAGACTACTTCTTGAAACCTTTCAAAATCTTTCAAACCTGACATGTTGACGAATGTTTTAAATTCGACAGTTACAAGGCGTTATCTGTATTTGGAAAATAATGGTTACTTGCTTGAAAATTCTTTATAATTTCATTTTCTTCTTTCTCCATCAAGCATTTTTTAATGTTTCAAAGAAAACTGCATAGCTCTTAAGAAGTCAACACGCGAAACGCCAGCAAAGCTTATTCGATAAAACCAAAGAAAAATCAGAAAATTCATAGAAATATATAACCAATATGCGAATCAGTCATCCGAGACACGCCCCTTCCTTTAGCTTCTCCCCCTGCAAACAATATATAACCAAGGAGTCAGTTTCAGTTGAGCTCTGAAGAAGCCAATATTTTTAATGCTTTTTGAAACATACTTCAGCAATAAAACACTAATTCAACTTTGCTTTAGAAAACCCTGTGTTAAGGTATTTTCCCGCTTTGAACCGTACGCCGCTGGGCGCCACACCATGACCTCCACCGCAAACGCCACGTATCTATAAAAATGCCGATCTCCTTCACAAAAACCCGACACACCGCCAAGAATGGCGGCGAAGGCTTTAGACTACTTCAGCAGCGCCGAAACCCTGATGATGATCGGAGCAGTATGGAGGCGGCAGCTTCGCACCAAGTCGAACCTCCTCAAATCCCTGTACAGCTTCCACTACGTGCTGTTTCCAGTGTACTGCGGCTCCATGGCTCTATCTCTAGCTGCCGAAATACCTAATCTCGTAAAGAACGATCCTACGGCCGGTACGTCAAGTGACGAATTGGAATCTCCCTCTGATGATCGAATTTTTCGCAGCTATGGAGACTCTGGCGAGGACGATAGCCACTTGCGTAGTAGTTGGAAAGATTCTGATGTGCAGGACTACCAGATCAGAAGAACTATACGCCACGGCGTTGAAGCAGCGGAAGGTGATATCGGAGTCTCCGGATCCGGATGTTAGGAGGATCTATCTTTCTCAGGATCGGTTCTGGCGAAAGATCATGTGGATGCTGGTCGGGCCGGTTATTTTCGGTTGGGTCCAGCTGTGCGAGTTGGGTAAGTTGAAGGCAGTAAGTTGGTGGTTCATTCGAAGAAGAAGCAGTGTCTCACGATCATGGAGATAGGATTCGGTTTCGCAGCAATTATAAATAAATATATATTTATTATGAATTAAACAAGTAAGTTTGTATTATGGACTTTAATAGATTTTTGAAGCAGTGAAATTTCAATTTTGCTGTTGTTTTTTAATGGACACTGTTCTGAACTGTGACAATTGTGCATTGAAATTGCATTAAAAAAGGAATAATGAAGAGAAAACAGCGCTTTGTCCATATGTTCAGCATTTTCAGCCCACGATTTGTTAGTTTCGGTGTTGGTTTAAAATCAAATCAAAGTTTGAAGGTGATGCAGCTTTTCATTCGGATACCACAAGAAGTATTCAGCGACATAATTTTAAAAATTTTAAACAAAAAAAAACAGTTTTTGACGAAACCATCTTTATTTACTCTATGACTATGGATTCCTCCTCCTCATGTTGGCTTCTTCAGAGCTTAACTCAAACTGGTGGGGATTCTACTCTCCACCGGCCTATATATTGTTTAAGGAAACGACCTGAGTCGCGGTTAAAATAATTTGGTTGCTTATAGATTTCTAAGAATTGTCGTATTTCTCTTTTGTAGAAGAATTGATTACATCAAAGAATTTTAATTTTATCTGCTGATGAGTTCATTTTCGAAGGCAGCTTCAAAATTTCCCGGCCTCAATATGAAAGAAACAAAATAGAGTAACAATTAACAATTTTTTATTATTTTTCAATACATATATTACATCTCGTTATTAACAACTCAATGCCTTTAAAAAAACTCAACTTCGTCGTTAAACCGCCGTCCAAGTAAGTCCTTTTTCAAATATCCAAATAAATAATAGTTGCTGGGGGCCGTATCTGGACTATAGGGAGGATGATCTATTTGTTGGAACCCACACTCTAAAATGGCAGCTTGTGCAACACCAGCACATTATCGTGCAAAAGACGCACGCCTCTGATCAGTTTTCCTCGACGTTTTACACATATGCAGTCTCGCAATTTATGTAATAATGTTGCGTAATATTTACCATTGACACTGGTATTAGTTTCGTTAAAATCTATCAAAGGAATTCCTTCACAATCCCAAAAGATCGTGGCCATCACCTTTTTTGTTGACTGGCAGACTCCGAATTTTCTTCGAGGTGCTTCACCCTTGCGACGCCACTCCATTGATTCTTTTTTCAATAGAGGGTCATAATAGAGAACCATAGTTTCATCTCCCGTCACAATAGTTTTTATCACAGGCTTCGGTTCCGACCCACAGAGTTCCAAAAAAGACCGCGCACACGGCGTTGATTTTGGATAACCGAAAGGTTTTTAGGAACCCATCTTGCACTAACCTTATGTATACCTTTAAACGTCGATCACTCAATACCACCTCTTCCACAATCGCAACAATATCATCCGTCATGACCCCCACTGGTCGACCAGTTCTTGAATCATCTTCAAGGGACTCCTGCCTCATTCGAAAACTTTTTGCCGATTCTTTCACTACAGAATACGAAGGAGAACTTTGGCCGTACACACCATCCAGGCTTTCTTTAATAATTTTGGGTGCTAACCCTTCTTTTGTCAAAAACTTTTTGCAAAACAATTTGCGTTATTTGCGACATTTTTTCGGCCACGTCTTTTTTAAAATGCTGCCAATAAAAAACTATTTGACGCCAGACTTCAATTTTTTTTTATGCAGCCTACTAAGATATATATTTAAAAGAAGACAAAGTTTTATCGTGATACTGGAGCTGCATCTATGTGGCGCTAACCTCGTGACTCCTAAGGCTCTTTCATGTTCTTTTAGCCTAGAGAAATTTCCAAGTACATCTAAAAAAGAAGCACCGACATCAACATAATAAAATAAAAGGCAGTGATATTTCTCAGAGTTAACAAACAATCTGGTCAACGATATTCTTCAAAATTAGAAGTAGTCTGAAATTTTCATCATCTGCGTACAAGGAATAAGAACTATATAAAAAGCGCTGGCCAACATCATACAGGAAAACGGCAAACAAAAATCAACCCAAATTTCAAAATTATGTTTTTCTAAAGTGAGTGACGTAATCAGAGTTTAGCATCTCTTACTTTTGTGTTCTCTCTTATATCTATTGATACGACAATAAGCTTCACTTATAAATCCCCGATTTTTTAGTTTTGGTTAGTTTAGATTTGTTGTTTTTCAGATATTTTTTTAATTTCGACAGATGCTTTGAGACTTTCTTACAGAGTTCTTTTATTTATGTTCTATATTCTCTTTTAAATTTCTTAGGTACAGCACTGGAACCTAGGACAAACAGGATTCTTTCACACTGGTTTTCATTTATGATTTGCTCCATAATAGACGGGTTATAACTATTGTTATTTCGCTGTTCACCGTAATAACACACTTTTCACCACAACCAAGTTTATCTTGTCCATCATCAACAACACAACTAAAATATCGTAGTCTGCTGATGAAAATAAGTTTTTCTTTTTCTTTTCTACCCTTTTTTCTCTATTCTTTTTCTTCTTGCTTGTATTGGCTAGTAACGAAGATTATCGGCCAAAAATTCCATTAAAATACCCACAGTGAATAAAACTGAGATAAAATTTATAGAAACAGGACAATCTGTTATGTGTCTATAGTCAGATCGTCTAAAAACTAATAAAAACACAAGATTAGGTAAACATTTTATTAGAAGTGAAGGATAGCTTCAAATAATAACACATAAAAATAGTAAAATCTGCTGCACTATAAAAGTACGCTTTGTTGCACGAACATGATTGTTATTTGAAACGACGAAAATCTTGTGATTAACCTATACTAGCGAATCAGATCTTCTGCGCAGTCGTCAACACTTTGCTGCTTCAGGTATCGAACAGAGCTACAGGTTTCACATAGCCCACCCCCAACCGAACGACAGCGCCGTAGGACTACCAGACAAACCATTGCTGTGCCATTTCTGGTACCCCTTCGACAAAAACAAGTACCATTTATGGGTGATAACCGAACAGTGTTTCCGTGTTCTCGCGATAAGCGTCGGTTTATGTTCGGCCGGCGTGTTCATCAACTCGCTAATGGTATTCATGAAAGTGCAACTCAAGATTCTGCAGCATTTGTTTAGACACTTCGACCGGTATTCCGATGTCAAATCGGGACGGTACGGGGACGGCAAAATATCTTCGTTGAGGTCGCTTTGCATCAAACACCAGCAACTTATTGCGTAAGTCTTAGTATTCTTGGCGGTTCTCTGGCATTCAAAATTCCTATTAGGTATAGGTCCCTTTTGTTCTCGTGAAGAACCATAACCTTTTTTAGCTGAATGCGAATGACCTTGAAACTGCAAATCATCTAACATATAAGTAGATAAAAAATAATCTTTTTTTTTGTTTTACAATACAAAGTCTATTTACAGCATTAGATGAAGTCTACAATGAATAAGTACAAAACAAACAGGAATACAAATGAACAAGAAAAAAATCAATGCTAAAAAATGATTTTATTTTAGTTTTAAAATTTTTAAATGATTAATTATATAACCTTATTTGGAATTACGTGATACAAACTGAAGTCAAGAAAACTTTTTAACTTCATACCTCGAAGCAAATTGGAAGAAGAAATGGGATGTCTATGAATACTACTATATGAATTTCTAAAACTGTGTCTTACATCAAGATAGCACACTTTAAGCTATTGCACATCCAACGAACCGCCTGTTGTAAACAAATATGCTGACCCTACAAATGTCACACTTCTCGATGGATGCATTGCTAATTTTGCAAAGAAATTTGCACAGGCTACTGTAATGCTTTTTACCAAACTTCTGGATTCCTCCTGCATCGGTTTTTGCTTGTAAAGCTCTGAAGAAGCCAACAGGATGATTGGCGAAACGTCAGCAATTTCGACTAAGCAAAAACCGACGCAGGAGGAATCCAGAAGTTTTGTAAAAAGGATGCATTGCTCCTCGAACACTCATTCAGAATTTTTTTGAAATCCAAAAAGTTTCTTTTAAGAAGTATTGAAAAAAAGTATATATTATAATATTAAATTCTTTGAAGAGTATTGGTTATAATTAATGTGTAGGAAAATTGTTGGGTTAGGATGTTATGGTTCAACCAAAGTAAGTGAACTTTGGTTTTTGGTTAGTAACGATTCTTCTTATTCGGTGACGTTGATAACACCTTCTTTCAAAAATAATTATAAATAAAATATATAGAGCCATGGATTCAAATCCACTATACCTTATAGTTTGTGATTATATCCGCTTGATATTAATTTGCAAATATTCACGTGTCGATATTCTTAAAATAGTATTAAAAATAATCAAACAAAGACATTGGGGAATATTTAAATATTCAAAAGATGTGGCAGTCAATTGAAGGTCCGGGAGTTTCCTTGATGGACCAATTTGACATATCCAATTGACGTTGTGTGCTTATGCCGGTGGCAATGGCACAATCTTAAATTGCTTAAATAGCACTTGACAATTCTGCATTGGATATAATTCTGATAGTCCTTTTTTGTATACGATAACAATTTATGGAATCTGGTGAGTTTCCCCCTGAATCAAGAAATGCGTAATATCTCTAGATTGGACGACCTTATTCATTTAAGTCTGTCATCCAGAACCACACCCAATATTTTCTCAAATTTCCCCTCCGAAAGCTTTATCTTTGTTGTTTAAGAATTTTTATATTCGGTGGTCTGGTCCAATCGTCAAAGAGATCAAAGAAATAAACTAAATACAATAACGGACCCAAAATGGAACCCTGTGGAACTCCGTGCATTAACTGTCGTAAACTTGGCATTTCGTCATTGCCAAAAAATGCCTGCTTTCTATCAAGGACCTAACACAATACTGTGCCCCTTTCCACATCCAAAGAATAGGACAAGTATTCCTGAATCTGAATTTAAATTATCAATACACTTCTGACGTCATGGTAGACATTTCTTTATAATAAGTAAATTGTCTGATTTTGTGTTCGACCTTAATTGGTACGAGTACCTTAGATGTGGAGGACGTAATATGTTTTAGTCACGTGGAAGAATTCAAAGACGCGGTGAAAAATATAATTCTACTAGAATACACGTCCTCTTCGATAATGCTTGCAGGAGCCATCTTCCAAATCGTTTCGGTCAGTATATAAACATGAAAAAATGTGAGGACCTAACATTTTACATTTCCAGGGAGATAAAATTCTTTTCACGATGATGTTTATCGTCTTCATGTATATCCAGCTTATGATTTTCGCATGGAACGCGGACGAGATAGTATCGGAGGTACCACCAATACGATATTTAAATCCAACGGTAATACAAATCCGCAATTAAATTCGCTTTTCAGAGTCTGGGGCTCGGGGATGCCCTTTACGAAAGCAAATGGTACGAGCAATCGAAATCGACCAAGGTGTTAGTCCTGATTATGATGATGCGATGTCAAAAACCATTAGTATTGACTATCGGTCGGTTTTGGCCTATGACTCTTGAAGCCGCCATTTCTGTAAGTGTAAAACTAGCGACTATCTCGATGCAAATTCAACAGAGATAATCCGTTTTAGAGACTGAAAATCGGATATTCCTACGCATCAGTTATGACGAACCATTAAATATTCACCTTTGTATTTCTTACACATGGATACCAAAAATTAAGATAATGACATTGATAAGCATAAGTGAGTTTTATTGATTAACTGCGCCTGAAAAACTAGCGACCACTCTTCTAATTACGAAGTACATTCAGTCAGAAGCAAAAATACGTTAAAGCATTTAAACCCAAATATCTGAAATTAGAATAGCGCCATCTGTAGGGGGATGATCGAGGCTATTTAACAGGCAGCGATTTTAATTACGCAAATAACAACGAGATAGCGCTCGCTGTTTAAAATATTCTAATAAACCTTTTCAAACTAAATACTGATTGACGTCTGCATTCGAAGGCAGAAAGCAAAAGCAATTTTTTTATAACGTTATTTAAACCGATTTAATTTAAACCAGAATATAGTCATCTGTTGCGGAATACTGAAGTAAATTTGAAAGGCAACGATTTGAGTTACGCAAATCACCACTAGATGGCCCTCACTTTGTAAAATAAACATAACTGCTATTAAGGCATTTTACATGACAAAACCGATGCAGCTATATTTCCAAATCCAGGAATATGCAAAAGAATTTTCCATACAACGTTATTAACAGCCATTTATTTTTAAGTAACGTATGCTAATGGCAATAGCAAATCACTAGGAGATAACGCTCGCTTCCAAAAATATACATAACAGCCAAGGTTTAGTAAATAACAATTAAAAAGCAGCCCGTTTAGTTACCCGAGATGGCGCTTACTCGTACTGGCCGTTAACACATTTTAAAAAACAAAACCGATGCTTATCGTTATTTAAAGCTATTTTCTGAACCTACGATTGCGTCTTCTGTTGGGAAACGTTCAAAACTATTTCAAATTAAGCGATTTTATTTGTGCCAATAACCACGAGATGTCGACGCTCTTTGAATTCTAATTTTTCAAGTTTTGTATGTATGATTATTGGCTTACTTTCGTTCAACCTAACCTATATGTATTTATGCGGAAAATAAGTATTTCATGTGAAAAGTAGAGCTCGTGGGATTACAAAAAAAGATAGTCATGAATTCTCAAAAATTCTTATCATTACGAGGTATGTAAATACTTTTAGAATCCCAACTAGTATGTTAACAGGTATTTATTTCAGCTCCTGCAGTATCGTTCCTTCAAATATGCGGCTTCAAAAACTTTAAACCGCCCCCAAAATATGACCGTAAGTCCCTTGGCTGCTTAACAATCACGAAATACTGACCATTCAACTTGTTTAAGATGTGGAATTCCCAGAGCGACCGAGACTTAAATACCTAGACAGAGTACCAGTAATTCCTGCAAATGTCCGTCCTCCCAAAATGCAGAAACGTTTACGTTACATGCGAGGCCCGGAAGACGTTCACAATTTCTTGATGCATAAGCAATTTGGCATAATTGTATTCGAGTGATATCCTTTCTCTTTATTTTTTTATAATTCAAATTTTGTAGGCTTTAAGCGGGGGTCGTTTAAAATATAACCATTTTGAAGTAATCAGATTGGCGATTGGTAGGTTTATGGACAATGACAGAATGTTCGCTGTATGGAGAGTCGATTCTCCTTGGCAGCCGGTCACCAAACGTGGTCAGGGTATGAGATTGGGGGGCGGAAAGGGTGCCATCGATCATTATGTCACCCCCATCAAGGCGGGTAAGTGTGACGGATCACTACAAACGACGGCAGGGTAATTTTTTCGATATTTCAGGCCGAGTCATTGTCGAAATGGGGGGCAAATGTGAGTTTAAGGAAGTTGAGCCGTGTTTGCAAAAGATTTGCAACAAGTTGCCATTTAAAGCTATGGCCGTTTCACAGGAGATACTCGATCAGCAGAAACGGCAAGAAGAGTTTGAGGAGGCCAACAATCAAAACCCTTACACAATGAAATATCTGATACAGAATAATATGGGAGGATGCAATAGATGGCTTTCTCCGTTTGATCTCCGAAATTTAGGGAAATACGTTTAAGGTGTAAAAAATTATATTTAACTTATACCTAGACAGAATAATAACAATAAAACACTTTTACTTACTGTGTCTAATTTTCTTTTTTTACAACAGAAATAACTTAACCTCGACTATACAGTCGGCCCCAGTATCGTAACCTCTAATACAACTTTTTCATCGGAAGTCAGTCGTTTTCTCAAACAAACAATCAATGTTAGGGGTTTTATAGCAGCAGCCAGCCGACCACTGTACTTTTGGTCATGATTTAGCAGAGCGAAAGCGAAGGTATATCTACTTTAATTTTTTCGACTTACTGCTTCGGGTTTTAATCTTATACCAGTCTGAAAGAGGATGTTGTGTTCTTATCAATTAAAATATTCGAAACCAATAAAAATGGTTGGATCAATCAAATCACAAAGCCCATAAAATATCGAATGCTTTTTGCAGTGATTGCCTTTCATGTTAAATTCATAACGTGACATTAAGATGTCGCTGCATCGAATGTGTGTCGGTCTGTGACTTAAAAATTACACAGTTGCTTAAATTGTAAACGCATTCCGAGCTGTTAAAAGATAGAAAGATAGAGTAAATTTTCTTTCGAAAAATTTCATTTGGTTTCTCGTAAACTTTTTTAAAGACGTTCAAGCATACGCGTAATTTTACCACTTCAGTGGTAGAAAGTCTGTACAATTAGGCGACCAATTCCAAAAGTTCAAGAAGTAAAGTGTTCCGTGCTGTGTTCTCGAGATGGGAACCTTTTTTGTTGGCGATATTATCATAAATTAAAAACGGACTTCTGCGTAATCCAGGTCTGTATTGGAGAAATCTAAGAGTTTTATTTTCCGTTACATGGTTCCGGCAAATCGGCCGGGAAAGTACCGATTTTAATCTGTTCTTCCCACCGTTCGGTCCATGAGCTGGGGCAGATCGAGCGGTAGATTTTCTCGAACTGTTTGCAACACTCGCGCCTGCAAAATAAGAACAAGCCCAAATACAAAGCGCTGACGTATCGAGACGTCATCCAATATGGGTGTTCTTTCACATACCCTTCCCCTAAAAGCCTCGTGCACTTTTTATGGTCAACGAAAGAAGAGTAACACCAAGCTGTTACATTCTGGTTGTGAAATCTCGGATCGGGTTGCGGAGTACAGAGGTCATTGTTCTCGAAATCCTTTAAGCATTACGAATAAATATAACACATTTTACTTTGAATCGCGCGCTTGCCTTTGACCGATCCATATTTATTGATTTTGATGAAAATTAAAAAAGGATAACCACGAGAAATTTTAGGAGAATAAAAACTGCTGTTTCGAATTTTTTGACGCAAGTGCCCGAGATACGTCAATATCGAGAGGTGCGTTAAAAATTCCCATGGAAATTTATGTTTTATATTTCAAAATAAATTGCTACTGTTATTAATTCGGTAGAAAAATATAGGCCTGTACGTTTATTATTGTTTCATTACAATTTATCTATTTTGCATATTTTTTTTATTTCCAGAAAAGTGTTTATTTATTGATTTGAGAATAATTAGTATCTCAATTATATGCCCAACTCTATAATCTTAATCATATTTAATTATTATGTTTATTATTCTAATTAAAATTTGTGGTGTGTAGGTCTTAAAGAAGGTCATTAAGAAACAAGCAATAATTTTTACTAGGTAAATGTTAAATTCATTAGCAATTAATGTAAATAAAAGGTGCAAGTAAAACAAAGGAATACAATGAATACAAAGTTATCATCAGCGTACCAGTAGACGACTACGCAGGAAACATTAAAAGTTCAATTACGTACCGTCATTCATCCGCAACAGCTTATTTTCACGTATTTATGCAAAATAAACCCCCGTAACTCCCCCTTCTTAGAGAAATATATGCGTACACATAATACGCAGTGGTTATCTTATCGTAGAGTCGCTGGTCCATTATAATTCGCCTGGGCATTATAGTCGAAATTATTAATATAACAATGAGAAAGACCGGTACAATAGATAAGGACCTTGCGATGCGGAACAAAGCGATCGCGATTAATCCGGATTAATTCCGGCGAACGGACCGATTATCCTTTATAAATAGATTGAAACATTTTTGATTGATTAAAACTTCTTTATATAGACGCTGGAAAAATGAATACTCCGATAGGCGTTTTACTTACGCGTTGTTAATGATATGGTAAAGAGTCGACCAAAGTGTCGCAGTTAAACCTTTCAAGGCCACTCTAAGACTGAACAATTGAGTTCATCGCCGATGTATCTGTAGCTACAAAATAAGAACATTGCCGGATGAAAATACAGGTCTCTCTTCTTCTCCTTCTTAATTCTATTGGCCATAAGCACTAGGATCATTCGGCCATATTAACTCAGCGACACTCATATCGATCATGAATAGCTCGTCGTTGTCTTATTAATACACGTTTGATGTCCGTTTTATTGAAATGTTAATGAATCATTACTCGATTGGGAATTGCCACGCCGGAAAACTAGAAGTATATATACCGGAAAAATAACGGTTTTCCATTAAGGCCGCGAGAAAAGTTTCCCACATAATGCACTCCTTGACGTTTCCTTTATCGGTTAGCTCCGGCGGACGTTTGCGATTGATTCCGGCCCGTACCTTTTCCGACAGTAAAATGCAAATAAATTGCTTCGAATATTGGTTGGATTTCCTTTTATCTGTTTGCCTTCGCGGGCGATTTTTCCGCCGAGATCGACCTGATATGCTCTCGAACCGTAGAGAATTTCCCTTTGAAGACGTCGACTTTGAAATGTCGGAAGCTAGAAAGTATTTTCAGGCCAGAGCGTCGCTGCGGGGCATCGAAAATCGTGAAAAAATACAATCATTTTTTTTAAATGCCTTTATTTCACCACTAACTACTATTATAAAATAGTAAAAAAATCTAATTTCAAATTCGCAAAAGTTGTTACGCTATTTTAGCGTAGTCGGCCCAATTCAGAGTATAAAACGATGAATAAAGAAGAAAAAAGAAGAAGAAAAGTTTGACAGTTAATAAGGTACCAAATCACCAGTGACGTTTCGAATAGGTTTTTGTACGTTTATTCTGCGATTCAGTTTCAGTTCAACGTATTTTTCTCAGTGTTCAATAGATTTTTGTATGCTTTACAGTAATTTAATTAGTCAATTATAAGCAAAGTTTCAGTGACGTCCGAAAGATGTAATCATAGAAGTACGAACAAAAAATGGTTAAAAAGCAATATTTTTTCAAACCCATTACAATAATATTTACGCCATAGAAATATGGCATGGTGTTTAGTTTATTTTTCATCTTACCCACCCCGAAAAGCTGTTTCTAAGGTTGCTCTAATACATTTTGCTCTCATATATATATATATATATATATATATATATATATATATATATATATATATATATATATATATATATATATATATATATATATATATATATATATATATATATATATATATATATATATATATATATATATATATATATATATATATATATATATATATATATATATATATATATATATATATATATATATATATATATATATATATATATATATATATATATACAGTGTGTCCAAGATAAGGATGCACAGCATGGGGATCTCGGAAACTATAAGAGATACAGTGTCGGTTAAATTAGACAAAAGTTGCGCATTTTGATACCGAACAAGATCCTGTTTTACAAATTTGAAAATTCCAAGCCGTTCCGGAAATATCCGAGAAAAACCGAAATATTGCGATTTCGTTTTTATTATTTTTTAAAGCTATTTGAAAAGATATGAAAAAACGGAAAACACTTTTCCATTGGCACTTTTTAATCTCTCCAAATTGACGTTAACAAATTTTCATTACAGCGTTTCGATTCCATGGAACCACCATCAACTTTGATTTTTCTTATGGGACGGAAAAAAAGTACACACAGTATTAGGTTGTGCTTTTCATTGCGAATTCAACGATGTACGATACAATACGGTTACTTATGTTTTTATCCAGAAAAATGGCTTTTTAATACATTTCAGCATTTAAATGGAGTAGGCCATGACAAAATGACATCCAGTCAATTTCAATGACACATTAATGTTATTTGTCTTTGTTATCAGTCGATCATAAGTTTATTCCTTTAGTTATTGTTTTTGTATTTTTATTGTTGTTGTCTTTTTCTAATTTATTTTGTTCTACAATGGAGGGAGGTAATTTTACAAACGAAGAAAAATGTGATATGCTGTCTTGCTACATCTGATGCCAAAGAAATTGTGTGGAAGCCGAGCGTATGTATTCTAACAAATACCCAGAGCGGAGACAACCTGACAAGAGTATTTTTCGACGTTTGTTATTTAATCTGAAAGAATATGGATCATTTAAGAAGCCTGCATTATCCCGACAAAAACCTTCCAATGAAGAAAACCAATACAATGTTCTACAATCTGTTATCGAAAATCCACAAACTTCTACCAGAGAAATTGAAGACCAGAATGGGGTAGCTAAATCTACAGCTCAGTTTATTTTAAGGAAAAATGAATTTAAGCCTTACAAATTCAGAATATGTCAAGGATTAAAACCGGGTGACGACGAACGACGTAGACATTTTTGTGAGTGGTATACCAGGATGTGTGATGAGAGTTTTAATTTTCCATATAAAGTGATTTGGTCTGATGAAAGTATGGTGACCAATAACGGTATTTATAACAGGCGCAATACACACTATTGGTCGCAACAAAATCCACGTGTTAATAGACTATCCAGACATCAAGTTCGCTTTGGGTTTAATATTTGGTGTGGGATTTTTGGTAGCAAGATTATAGGCCCTATTTTCTATAATAATTCCTTAACTTCCGAGCGGTACCTTGACATCTTGAGGCACGATTTAGAAGATGCCTTAGATGATTTACCGCTAGGCGCTGTGCAAGGCTGCTGGTTCCAACAAGATGGTGCCCCAGCCCATAACTCCAGAGAAGTTCGCCAATATTTAACTGAACGGTTTGATGGAAAATACATTGGGACTTACAGTGAAACACCTTGGCCTCCAAGGTCCCCGGACTTAACTCCCTTGGACTTTTTCTTATGAAGCTACATAAAAAATGAGGTATTCAAAGAATGTTTTGACAACGAGGAACAATTACGTCAATCAGTACGAGCAGCGTTTAATAAAATTACTCCTGAAATGTTAAGTCGTGTTTTGGAGTCTACCGTGAGACGGGCGTACTTATGCCTAGAAAATGGAGGTCATTTATTCGAACATTTGTTATAGAATTTGTTTTTCATTAACTTGTTGGATTTAGTTGTTATGTTAAATGAACAGTTAGAGTTAGTAAATAAATAAACACATTAACTCGAACTTGTCAACCATTTTCTTTTGCCTTTCATCGTTCGGATCTCATGGCCTACTACAATAAAATGTATTAAAAAGCCATTTTTCTGGATAAAAACATAAGTAACCGTATTGTATCGTACATCGTTGAATTCGCAATGAAAAGCACAACCTAATACTGTGTGTACTTTTTTTCCGTCCCATAAGAAAAATCAAAGTTGATGGTGGTTCCATGGAATCGAAACGCTGTAATGAAAATTTGTTAACGTCAATTTGGAGAGATTAAAAAGTGCCAATGGAAAAGTGTTTTCCGTTTTTTCATATCTTTTCAAATAGCTTTAAAAAATAATAAAAACGAAATCGCAATATTTCGGTTTTTCTCGGATATTTCCGGAACGGCTTGGAATTTTCAAATTTGTAAAACGGGATCTTGTTCGGTATCAAAATGCGCAACTTTTATCTAATTTAACCGACACTGTATCTCTTATAGTTTCCGAGATCCCCATGCTGTGCATCCTTATCTTGGACACACTGTATATATATATATATATATATATATATATATATATATATATATATATATATATATATATATATATATATATATATATACCGTTATATGATTGCAGCTTTCCTTAAGATTCGGTAACTCAAAACAACACACTTCAAAGCACCAACCGCAATAATCTCATTAAATGACGGAAAGTCTTGATTCTCTTCTTGTAGGTTTGTATCACTTGGAAGTTTTACACACAAAAGGCCAATTTTGTTTTTATTTTGAAAAAATGTAAATCGCTGTAAGGTAAGTATACTCTTTGTGTGATTACTTAACGTCAGACTTTCATTTCTGTACCATAGCATTTCTTTTTGTTTTGCTATGGAAGATTTTTTTTTATTAAAAAAGGGAGATGTCGGAGAGTTGTTTAGAGGTTAGCCAGTCGATAAATGTTTGTATAAAGTTGACCCTTCTATAGTTAGTTTTTTTTATACAAGGCTTAGGTTTGTTCAGTATTGGATTCAGAATAAGTGATCAATTTTGACATTGTTTATTAACGAAATGATAGGGGGGGTTTATTTAAGCATAGTACAATCCCGATTATCAGAATCTGAATTTTCTGACTATTAAAAAACAAATATTTGGACTAACCGAAACGAAACGCGTTATACGAGAGTTGGAGCTCCTTGTTACAAACTTATCAAAAACGTATTTGCATCCAAAAAAACTTGGAAAATGTTTGTATATTGGATAGCTTCAGCTTTGGAATTAAGTAAAAGCTAGTACCCTGAAAAAATCCTGGTGAAAATTGATTCAACTGATGAAAGTTTATGGCAAATTTTCACCAAAATGCCGGCAACAGAAGTTTATAAATGGTTTTAAACAGCGACCAAGAAATAATTAAGAGTGTTTGCAGAAATGATGAAAAAAACAGTGATGACGATGATGACGACGTAAAAGCCACTGACAATATTCCAGTAAGAATGTCACATTCAGAAGGACCATAGGCCTTGCAGAAAGCGTTAACTTAAGCAGAAAAACAAGAACGTTGGAGAGATATTGCGGTCAAGCATTGTCAAATGAATGTAGTTAAAAAACGCCTCATTTTTAAGATAATTTAAACATGCCTTTTGGCCGAATGATCCTGGTAGTCGTGGCCATAGAAGTAAAGAAGGAAAAGAAGAACATGTCTTTTATTAATGTACATATGTATCTATGTACCTAATAATATGTTCAAACATTTTTTGAATAATAGAAATACATTATTTGCTCTATGTTTTTTTTTTAATATAAACATAAATTGAAGTAAATTATTTCATAAACATCGTTAAATCGATCTAATGACACACGTATCCTAAACTTAAAAAAAAAACGGATTTACACTTCACTTTGGTCCACATGGTTGCGGATAATCAGGACTGTACTGTATATAAAATTCATCAACTGTTGATGCACAGCACACACAGCTGTCCGGTCGGTGTAAATCAAGATCCGTAAACACAATTGTCGCGTTTACATTATATAGACAATTTTTTTCGATGTAACAATGTATTTCTCAAGCAATAATTCTTAGTTCAATGATGGAAACGACATATATCTACCTGACGATACACTGGGTGTTTGCACTGACAGCGGAACGATAGCAGTCAAATATCATTTTACAAGCAAAGGCAAAAATTATTGAACAGAAGTGTTGAAAATTTTCATAACATAAATAAATAATAAATAAATAAAATAACAACAGACAAAACAAAAAGTAAGAGAAAGTTTAGTATTTATAAAACGTTCATGATGTTCGCATTTTCGTTAGGGAAGGCTACATCTTTTTATAGTTTAAAAACTCTATAGCCTCTTGCTATATTTTACTATTTAAATATTTTATGAACAAGACAATAACCGCGATACACAGAAAAGTAGTTGAAACGGTCACCGAGTGACGTCACCTATTAGCGGTGACTGAGGTGGGGGGAATCGTAAGGCAACCTGTTGTGTTTACGGGCCTTGGGGTTGAATATCCATTTCTCGATGCATTTTGCATTAAAAGAAAAAGTCTTACAATATTAACCGACTTAGAACTGTCATTAGCGACCAGCATGGAAGAGCGGAAGTGCGCCAACTTGAAGCCCTCGGAACCGAATCTGAAATTTAAAAAGAAATACCCTGGCAGACACAAAGAAAAATTCAACCTTAGTTGTCGGGTTATTGTGAATATTTTCCGAAATATATGTTCCAACTTGACATTTCTTGTAAGTAGTGTTATTGAGCGAGTTACACTAAAAACATGTGTTTTCCAATAATTTTTTCTGGCCTAGTTTCTTATAAAAATCTTGAAAGCGGCAAATAGTAAAAGTGCAGATGGAACAACAATTTTTTATGATTTTCTCGCAAAATTTAAAATATAATGGTTTAAATATTTTTAGCTGGGATGAAGGAGTTTAAAAAAAATTGCAAATGTCAAAAACGGTTAGACTTAGGTATAGGACATTATGCACAAAATATGTCTAGAATTTTGTATAGACTTAAAAAATGAAGTAATATACCAGGTGTTCCATTTAAAATAAGAAAGTTAAGACTCGCTCACGAAAGATAAGACACCCCGTATATACGAAATTAAAATACATTGGTTTGTAATGCCCCAATTAACTTTTGTATTTAACTTTTGGCTTCATCCCTTATAGTTTCTGAGATAAGGTAGTGTCCTAAGATAAGGGCCCACGCTATACATTATTTCTTAAGAACTTAACTAGTTCTATATCATACAAGGTCAGTCAAAAGTTATAATTTCCCTACGAGATACAAAAATTTTTGATAAGTGCATTTTTTATGAAACACAGTGTATATGAACACATATTCCAAGAGCAAAGATGAATTATGCCAAAGTAATCCAGTTTTCAGAGAAACTTACTTTTATTTCGGAAACCGAAAGATTTTATTTCGTCTTAGAATACGTGACAATACATAAAATGTTGTTTTCAAAAAATGCACTTTTCACCATTTTTGCAATCGTTTTGATCAAGCCTGTACAATATAGGACTAGTTTCGATATTAAGAAATTCTGCTTAACCCATGTTTAAAATTTCAACTTTCTGCTGGCTCCAGTGTCGCAGTAACAAAAATTTAATTGAAGGTACAGTTTGATCGAAAAAATGAAAATTATTATTTTCTCGCCGAAGATAGATATAGGAACGTATTATTCAAAAACAATCATAAAAAATTAGAGTGTGGGAAAATGTAATAATATTGATGGTCTGCCATTTAAAATGTCAATGTTGCCGCTACTTTTTCGAAGAAGCGGCAACGTTCAGCGGTGAAAATATTTTAGATCGTTAACACCCCGTATATTAGTTAAAGTTCTTTATCGATTAAATTTTTCAGTATTTTCAGATAGTTTCATTATCTATCATTTTCCCTTTTTTTTTTATTAGAATTATTGGCAATAGATTTTTGCCTGAAAAAAATCCTTTTTTCTATCCCACTTTCCCGACAAATTACGGCAAGCAAAGGTAACTTGCGTGTACGTACCCAACCCGTAGGCGACGACTTCTTTCTTCACGGTGTAATTCGCACGAGGAATGTAAAGTTCGCAAGCAAATCGCGTACCGTCGGGCAGTTCCGGCAGCTCCGCCACTAACTCGACGTCGAAAAAACCGTCCCGCCTCGCTGCCACTGTCAACGTCGCGTTTTTCGCTTCGCTGAAACATCGCGGCTCGATTAATAGCAAACTCTATCTTCGACCGACAACAGAAAATTTTCTACCACATACATACCAAGCGATCGTTACCTTTCGTTAATAGAAATCCGCATGGTGGGCCTTGGAAACACCTCGTCGACTTCACAGACCACGCGGTGACGCGCGTTTTCGTCTTGCGCGTAAAAAATCCTCAGTTCCATTTCTTTGCCGGGCGCTGAAAGCAAAAATTAACCGTCGGAGGATTCGGCAACGTTGCGCGAATTCAACAAGTGTAAATACTTTCGTTGACAATAAATAATAAGAACCGTCGCACGGGTAGAAATAACAACATCGATAAAAATAACAATGCAAGAAGCATTGACTCAATGTAAACCAAGCCGATCCTTTTCTGTCGCTCTGATTAGATTATGAAATTTAACACGCCTAACGAAAGTTAATTAATAGGTGGCTGTGGTCTGAGAATGACCGGCGTTGCCACGGAAACCGCAACTGCGCTTGTAGGCAGGGTTGCGGAATCGGCAATATTTAACGAAACGAACGAAGAAAAGAAGACCGTTATTAACAATAAATGAAACAGCCGTTCGCGATACGTCGTGTAAACGTATTGATTCCCCACCAGCCTGGTCGTCGAGCGGCAACACGGCAACAGCGTTTGCCGCGCCTGTTCCGCGACAAATTTGTCGGCACGGTTCTACCAGTTCGGGATGTGTCAAACCGAGTTGTATTTTCGCGTTTAGTTTGTTTATCGTGCGACTGCTCGAATGTAAACGTTTCACGGCCGTATTTTTCGGTGGTCTGTGCGGGCGAATCAACAGCGCAAATGGTGAGTAACTGACTATACGCGGGCGAAACCGAAAGTTTCGTCGGTTTTGGCCGGTAGAGGTTAATTTTATTATTGGGACGGACATATTTCGCAGCCAATGCCGTAAATTTGTCGGGATATTCGGAAGAAGGCGGCTTACGTCAAACATTTCCGCCGGTATTTTTGTAAAAGACATTTCTGAAATTAAATACGGGCTAAAACGTGAGTATATTGTTAAACGAAACAAGATATATGGTCTGTGGTTAAGTGAGGTTTGTTTAAGTTATGTTTAAACGATTTGTTGAAGTGTGCCTACTTGAGTAAGTATTTTGAAGCAAAAAGGATTTAAAAGTCGTAGCAATGAATAGGTAACATGAGGTGATGTGTAATTCAAAAACTGTTGGATATTATTCAGTACCAATAAAATTTCGAAACTAAACGGTCGTATTTATTTTTAAAAAAGTTTTAATCCGAGTTTTAACCTATTTCTATTAGACCGTTAAAAATGTTGCATTTTAAAGGCGCCAGTTTTTTAATTAATTTTGACAAATTTGTCACTCGAAAGGGCTATGACAGACTGTTCAATTTTCACAAAATTTTAGTCGAAAATTTTAGGTGACTGCTGATTTTATTTTCAAAATTGGAAGAGAAATATATATTTCGCGAAATATCGGATGTAAAAGTACAGGTACGATTATCGTAATGTAGAACTTGTCAAAATTGAGTTTGAAGGTGGAAACTGAGGTCCAATAATTATATAAAAACTTTTGAATGAAGAAATATTTATGATCCGGTTGATTGCTCCCTACGCCCGATCCTACTCAAAAATCTAGTAGAAAATATTCCTTTTTCAATGCAATTATTAATTATTGAATGGTTTAATGGAATAAAAACAACCAAAATTAAATTAGCAGAAGTGGACTTAGAAATATTTTAGGGAAACCAAGTTGCATTCCATTTACTTCGAACTTTACCAGCAAACAAGTGATACAAAAGGTGTAGGGTTCAAAATAGGTGTGTTCGGTCTTGTTTGCAAGGTAATTCTTTATCAGTAGTATATCTAATTGACGTAACAAGCAGATTATCTCAAGGAAAATTAGTTAAGGAAAACACTTCATTAAAGTATTCAGTTTGGTCGATCTAAGTCATTTCAATCCTGTTTTTTAAAATTAGGCTGCACCAAAAAAAAAGTCGGCACGTTTGTAGAAACCAGTAAAAGAAACAACTTTTCTCTTTAGTATATACAATGAAAACTCTCTATAGAGAAGCCCAGTATTACGAATATAGTTTGTTGTACTATTTTTTTTCTCACTGTCTATTCCGAAAGAAAAAGGGCACATCAGGTAACGAAGTAAGGAATCTAGGCCGACTTGTAATTCATAGTCTCTTACCTTCTTGGAATTTCTTACCCTCATAATCTAATTACCGAGAACCTGGTCGTCTTAAATGTTTTTCTCGTAATAAGCGATTATTATTTGACTTAGTGAATACGGCGAGCATGGCGAGTAAGCAAAAAATTTTATCTCTAAATGACAAAGTTGCTTTAATTCGAGAGATAGAACGGGGAGAAAAGAAAAGTGACATGGGACGTCGATACAGACTTACACCGTCGATTGTATCCACGATTTGGAAGTGCAAAGAAAAAATCATTAAGACCGAAGTGGCCGGCAGTTCTAGTAAAAACCCAAGAAAGCCAAAATTTGAAGATTTGGATCGGGCAATATTGCAGTGGTTCCAACAGCAACGTCTTAAAAATGCATCACTCTCTGGACCTATCGTAAAACTAAAAGCAGAAAATTTTCGGAAGGATGGTTGGGGAAGTTCAAACAGAGGCATGGTGTAAATTATGGACAGATAAGTGGCGAAGCCAGTAATGTCGACAGAAATGTCACTAACCATTGGCTGGAGAAGACTCGGCCAAAACTAGCAGATAAGTACCCTGCTGACGACATTTTTATTGCTGACGAAACTGGTATTTTTTACAAAATGACGCCAGATGAAACTCTTAAATTTCGAAGCGGAAAGTGTGTGGGTGGAAAACTTTCTAAAGAACGTATAACAGTGTTAGTAGCTGCGAATATGAGTGAGAGAGAAAAAAGAAAATTAGTTGTGATTCGAAAATCAACTAACCCACGATATTTTAAGAACATCAAGCATTTGCCGGTCCCTTACAAGGCAAACAAGTCTGCATGGATGACATCGCAAATTTTTGCAGAGGAGATACGTAAATGGGATGCAGACTTAAAGGGGAGGAAAATATTACTTCTCTTAGATAACTGCCCTGCATATTGAATTGCCATTTCTTCCAAAACAACAAGTGTATTACAACCGATGGACCAGAGCGTAATAAAAAGTCTTAAGAGTCGATACAGGAAAAACATTTTAATGGAAATGATCGAATCCGAAAGCTTGGAAAGAGGTGACAGCAGAAACAATTCAACACTCCTATAGTCACTTATTACCGAGACAGAATGCGAACAGGACTTGGAAGATGATCAGCCACTAAGCGAGTGGATAGATCAGTTTCAAACAACAATTACGTTTACAAGTGAGGAGTTGCAAGATTTTATGGTGATAGATCAGGATTTGCCGACAACAGCAGACTTGACAGAGGAAACCATATTACAACAAGCAAGAAAGGGTGAAGAAGAACACCAAGAGGAAGAAGAAGATGAAGAAGTTGATCTGGGACCACCACCAACCATTCAACGAGCCCTATATTCAGTTAAGCTGCTAGAGATGTGCGCATACTAAAAAAACTCAAAAGAAAAAAACCGATTATTTGAATCATAAATGTAGTTCTTAAATATTTATATAAAATGTTCCTAAGTAAATATTAAAATATGTATATAAAATAATTAAATATTACAGAACACATATGCGTAGTGTTATTTTTCAAGTGCCTACAATTCTTTATAACGAGTCCCTCCAATTTCGCTATATAGAGTTTCGACTGTACGTATATATTTTTTTAAATCTCAATTTTGATAGATATATATTTTCACTTGATGTAGACTTTAATGGCGAAACCATATGTACCGGGTGTTCGAAAAAAAGGTTCACTACACCCTTAACTCAGAAACTAAGACTGATAGAAAAGAATGCTACATAGTTTCATATATATTTCTTAATTTTTATTCATCACTCAATATTAACAATGTTTAATAATTAAGGGAGTCTCAATTATTATGTCGTAGATGAGTTCCTGGCGAAAAGGGGCGTATTGTAATGTACTGAGTGGATAGTTGCTTGTCCTTCATTTTTGCTTTAATTTCATACTAAAATATTCAAAAGTAAGTAATTTTTTAAGTATATTTTATATTTTACCCGTGAATCCAAAAATACAATATTCACAAAGGGCGAAACACCCTGTATAAAATAAAAAATCTAGATGAAACTATCATTCGTAGTTTCTGAGTGAGGGCGGTGGAGATCCCTATTTCGGGCCCTCTGTATAGGCCATCTCGAATATCAGTGGAAAAAAAAGTAAATTTAGCCAGTCGTCGATATGCACACTCAAAGTAATTTCCTTTTAGCGTCACCGCCTATTTTTAGAGCACCTTCAAACGGTCTATAAATTCGGGCAATTCATTTTGTTTATCTACCGACATCACTTTCGTTACAATTGCTTGCCAATTGAACCGGCAATGCGCGAATACAATGAAACCTCAGCGGATATTCACAGTTCCACCGATGTTGTCCCTTATTCCCTTTAACAGAGAAAACTACGAAATTTGAAGACATCTTTATTAATAAACCTAACGTTTTGTTACTACCATGTAAATCTTGCAATCTTTTCTTCAAATTCATTTCATTTGCAAAAAAATACAGATGAGTTTCACTGCCAAAGACTCACAGTACGAAGTCATTTTGTTTCGCCTTTCAACAGTCTTATCGTCGAGATCGTTGTTTTCTTCTGATGCAGGAGCTCGTTCAACGATAATTTAACCTCACTGTTTAAGATGACCTCTTCGTATGTTATGTTTATTTCTTTGGCCCAACTTTCATTTGAACTTTCAGTAGAGCTAGAACTGAAAATCGGCATTTTTGAAACAATTTTGTATCGTTGCTGATGGAAGTTCAAAACATTTATTGACTTAACTAGATCTGTAGAGGATACTATTTACAAAACTTTTGGATTCCTTCTAACTTGCTGACGTTCCGCCAATCATAAATCTGGTTTTAGAGTTATATTTTTTAAGAACGTTTGATATGTGGTCAGTGCTGTTTTGAATTTAAGGATGGACAACAGCGAATGGGACTCATTGTCTTCGGAAAGTCATGGTGAAGTGTATTTTGTGATGGAACGCCTAATGTCTCTAATGTGGAAATTATTAGAGAGAAGGTGCTTTAATTCTGGGTACAATAACGTGGGTTCAAATACTTCTACGGCTCTGTAAACAAGAGCGTTGAAAAGCGATGATTTAGAATTTATTAAGGTACAGATCTGTGTGCTTTGGGTCCCTGTAACCAGAATGTCCCGATGTTAGGTCTGTTTTTTTATTGATATTGATTGATTGATTATTTTCTATGCAATGGTAAAACTTATGTTGGGGTGTATAGAGCTTAAATGTGTCCAGGTCTTTCTTCTCATAGCTTTTCCCGACGTTTGTTCATGAGTTTGACCGTTCCAGAAAAGCATTTTTCAACTAAGATGCGAAGGTTTGGTTCCAGGTTCCAGAAAGTTTCTTTGAAAATTCTGTAGGAGGATCACATTAAATAATATTCAACAAAATATTTATATTTAAGGATTAGTGATGAACTTCGATCAATTGCCAAGAGTTTTGCACTTGCGTCACTGTTCTGCCGGAGCAGCGATATGTAGGTCTTGAATATGTGAAGTGTAATCGCAAAAATATGATGTTAGAGCGAACAGACATTATTAATTGGTGACAGAGGTATTTAAGGTCAATCAAGAAATATCGCCAACAAAATTGTAATCTATTTAGATGAGAGTTGGGTCAATGTGTGTCATACCATGAATTATGCTTGGTGTGACAATACTAGAGTATAGAGAATTACAAAATTTTGTGAACTCCTGTGTGAGAACCGAGAAAAGGGCATATTTGGCAAGTACATTTAAGGCTGATCGTAAAAATTTTTGCCGTACTTTGAGACTTCGAGTGCACGGTAATCCTACTTTAATGTTGGAAAACAATTTTGGCCGACCTAATAGTTTTAATGTTGCTTTTACTTCTTTTGGAGGTATTGGTGGTATTGGTCCGGGGTTTGTTATTAATTATTATATTATAATAATAATAAATATTAATTAATTAATTAATTAATTAAATTATTATTATTAATAAACAATTTGGTTCTAATTCATTCCGTTTTGCTAAAGTTTACCCTCAGAAAGTTAATAAAACTTTGATTAGTATTAAAACTAACGCTCATGGCTCAGACAATATTGATATAAAAATGATTCTTTTGACTACTCCATATTTCGTCGATCATATCACTTTCTTTGTTAACAAATGTCTGCTGTCCGCGGTTTTTCCGGACTCATGGAAGCAAGCCGAAGTTATACCCGTACCAAAGAAGTGTCCAAGTGGTATTAACGATTTTGGACCAATCAGTTTGTTGCCAACCCTCTCAAAGATTATTAAAAAAATTGCAGCTAAACAACTTCGTGCTTATTGCAGTATTGTCTATTGGTCAGCTATACTTAATCGAGATAAGGAAAGACTCCAACGACTTCAGAATGCTTGTATTCGATTTAGTTTTAGTCTCAGAAAGTATGATCATATTTCCCAGTGTGATTCGGGTTGGCTCAAGCTGGAGGACCGATATAAAGTTCAGTTAGCCACCTTTGTTTTTTTACTAAACTCCAATAAGAACCCGTCGTACTTGTTTGATAAACTTTGCAGAGGAAATGATATTCATAATCGTGACACCCGTCATTGTTTAAGATATTGCGTTGCTAGACACACGTCGGTAACTTTCCAGAGATCTTTTAGCTATAACGCAGTTACATTATTTAATGATATGCTATAACGTCCTTGCCCACAATAAAGTCCTTCAAAAAAGTGTTAATATGGTTTATTAGGCCCGCCTAACTAACAAAAGCATATGAGTTTATGATGTTATTATTATTATTATTATTGTTATTGTTCTTATTACTACAATAGACAAAAAATTTTGTTATGGATAAAGCTTTCTGTAAATTTAGGTATCCAGTGACCTCATGGAAAAAAAACGAAATTCAAGATTTTTATTTCTCTTCTTCATCTGGTTGGCGGCTTCTTCAGAGCTCAATAACTGTTTCAGTTAGGCTCTCAAGAAACCAACAGGATGATTGACTCAACAACAACCGAGACAGGAGCAATCCATAAGTTTTGCAAATATTATTACAGTAGTCTGTGGGAGTTTCTTTGAAAAAAGAAATTCAAGATTGGGTGGCCGGAAACAAACATTTCCTTTGAACACTCCTACTTGAAATTAGAGCTGCCGGAAGTTTCCCGCGCGTACAGAAATGAGTGTGACAAATATAAAATTGGATTGGATGCTTTACTCAAGTAAAGCGATATGTGGCAATGAACAACTCCGATTTCAATACAAAATATATTTGTTCATTGGTAGATGAAGCATTAAAGCATGCTACTCAACAAAATTGGAGTAAAAATTATGTTCAACGTGTCAAAGAAAAAGAGATATTCTCCAAGACAGCGTAATTCCGGCAACAGTTCTGAGAAAGACATTGACATTTCTGATCTCGAGGTCACTGATGTACGTACAAATTAGGTAAAGTTAAAATGTTGAGATAAAATTTGGACCTGTGCCGCGAAATTTGTTTTAGAACGAATTTGATAAGACTGATAAGACTGCACGCTGAATTATCAGCGTGCAGTCTTATCAGTTTTGTAGCTTTGACACACGAGAGTGGGATGCAGCATTGTCCACAAATAATAAAATTTTTCGATTTTGCTTTATCATTTTTCTGTCAAATTGAAGCAACTATTCATTTACAGCGTCACCCATGCTTTCATTTAAAATTTTCACTTTTTCATTTTCATTTTCACTCGCCAAGTGACCACAAAATAAGGACGTTTTGTCCATTCACTAGACATCTCTGTCTGCGCACTATAAGATCGAGACATTTTTCCAAAAAACGGAAAACAAAAAACTGGAAAATCTGAAAACTTCTCAGCAACTCGTATATTGTTGACGTAATTTTCTTAAAATTTGGGGTGGATTTAACTAATTAACAAAGTGGCGTTGTCTTAATTACTTTTCAGCACGACCTCAATTTTCCTCTTTTTTTTGAATATTGTTGTAGTCCGACGGAAGCCGTCGCGTGTGGTCACGGCTTTAGCACAATGTTTTTGTTCCAGATAATAGAGGCAATGGCGCCGCGGACAACAGCCACACTCCAGTACAAATTTAAGTGACGCGTTTTCGTGATATTTGTTAGTTTCGAATATATTTACCCGCCGTCATGGCTAGTTTGCAAAATTATCCAGGCAGCAGACTCCTGGAAAGTCTCGGCCCGTACACCACCCTTAACGTGGACCAACTGAATTTCGTGGCAGCTCAATTTTTCGCGCTGGGATTGGCAGCCCTGTACCGGTAAGCGCGGAGGTCGGAGTATTGTTAAAGTTTAAAAAAATCCCACATATTTCATAACTTTTTTTTTATATTTTTCATAATTTTTGGCGTCGGTAAAATGTGTAGTCAATCCAAACAGTAATTTTAAGCGTCAAATTAACACAAATTATTTCTTAAATTGAAACCAAAAATTAAAAAAAAAACGGGTAGATTGGCTTCATATATAAAATTTGTTGAGCCGTATAAAAGGTTTGTCGAAAAATACTTACGTAGGTGAGGGTGGGGCAAGGCGTCCCCCTGGGGCAAGGAGCCCCACCTTAAAAATTGTAATAAGATAATAAAAAAAAATCCGTTTTAATATTTATAAATTCTGATTATTTGTACATTTTTAGCCCTTTGCGTAATACAAGGGTCCGCTTAAAAATTCTAAAAAAAAGCTAATCCATATTATTATAACCGAATCATAATTAATTTATTGAAAGTGTTATTTTTCGGATAATTATATGGATTTAGCCTAAAGCCAGAGCTTTCGAAAATCTTATAAATACCATTAACAATTTTTTTAATCGATAGAAAAATAGTTACGAATCAATAACTTTTTTTTTAATTAAGTACTTTTTAATAAATAATTATAATTATTATATTTCACATCATAAATAGGGGAGAGTGGGGCATGACGGCCCGAAGCTTCGCCAACATTTGGGTAAATTTAGTTAAAGTTAGTCAAAAATAAATAAATCGACTCGATGGTTAAAAGGTACAAAAAATTATAAAGGTTAAATGAGCCCCCTTGCCCTTTATGAATAAAGTAGTTTCTGAAAATACAGTTTTTTAAAGAAAAGTTGAAAAGTACTATCATCTCCAATTAATAAACAATTTTCTATATTTTCACCCCTGCTTAACATTCAAATTTTTCTTAAAATTCAATATACTGTTCGACAAATTTTGTATCTGATGATTCTATATAAAGAACTTTTTATTAAAATAACTTTTGTTCATAAAACTATAAGAAAAAATCAATTTTTCGTACATTTCGGAAGAAGAATTCGGGTTAAATTCCGTAGGCCCACTGGTGTAGTTAAAAAAAATATGGTACTCCAAATGGGGTGTTCCGTTTGATTTTTTTCCAACCAACCAAAAATATAGAAAAAAGGGCCATAACTCCGAAAATTTGGAGACGGCTTGTATTGTGGGCGATATGTGACATATTTACCCCGTCGATTGCGTCTAAAGCGTGCCGCTTTGGCTTTGGCAGCACGGTGTTTCGTCCCGAAAAGGTGAGCCCCAGCATCAGGCACGCGTTCGGACTGCTCTTCGGTCTGTGGATGGGATATTTCTGTTTCGGGTACCACGCAGTTCATTTGGCGGGGTTGCCGGCCGTATGTTATCTGGTAAGTCCGACGGCACACGGTGACGTGTAGGTGTCGCTTTAACGTCATTTTTTTAATACGCATATTTTTGTGTCCGCTTCCGAGAATAGTCCAGATCTGGCCCGGCAAAAGGTAGGTGGTTCGTTGAGTTTGACGGTGCTTATCGTTTGCGCATGATTTGCGATGTAAAAAAATCAAACCTATATCTCTCACTGCCACAAAATGCAGGTCCACAGTAGTGTCTTTTCCTAACTTCCGAATCCCCTGTCCCGCGGGGGTAGTAAAGTTACAGATTCCCAAACCCAAAACAAAAATCGAATTTAGTTTGGCTGGTGTATGAGAGTTGTCGCGCTTTAATAGCTCAGGTTTTGGTCGCCATATGTCCCCCCCATTGGAGGTAGTTTTTTGTGCAATTTTTGGCTTTATGGCATTTTTTTTTTGCCCCCTGTTTCGCCAATCATCCTGTTGGCTTCTTCAGAGCTCGACTAAAACTGGCTTGTATTTTACTCTGTACCTGCTTATATATTGTTTGAGGGGGCGGAGCTAAAACACCGTCTCGGATGACTGATTCCCAAATTGGTGACAGGTAGAGACCTGAGTCGCGGTTAAGATTATTAGGTTGTTTATAGATTTCTATAGATTCTCGGATTTTTCGTTGGTAGAAGAACTGATTACATGCAAGAAATTTAGTTTTATCGAATAAAATTTTATATCCGGTTTCACGAGTGTGTTCGGCAACAGCTGTCTCACAACAACATTTGTCCCAGTCGTAAGGCTCTTTCGTGTTCTTTGAGCCTAGTTGATATTTTTCGTCCGGTCTCCTGGCATGCGCGACAACTCTCGTACACCAGTCAAAATAAATTCGATTTTTCTTTTGTTGCTTGGGAATCTGTAAATTTGCTATCTCAAGATCTTCCCTCGGGGACTGGGGATAATGAAAAGGGGTATACATACTACTTGCAACCAGTTCTTTTGGTATTCTAGTCAAGGCCTGAATAGCAGTTAATTCTTGTATAATTTTTATTTTTTTGTAGAAAACTCTAGGACTTAAAGAATTCATCTAAAAAAGGACCATTATGTAAACAACAAAAAAAGTCCCAGAATTTCCATCGAAGTTGTTTGAGTACGCATTTATTGAATCTTGCAAACGATGAAATACTAGGCAACGATATATTAGACTAGTGTATAAAACAGATGGTCTAAGCGCTGAAATAGTGGAAGTCATCCATGGCAACCATGCGCGTCCCTCAGGGCTCTGTATTAGTACCAGTACTTTTCCTCTAATTTTAGAAGTTGCACGATGAATTAACGTCGATGAATTAAAGACGCAAAAACAATTTTTTGACATTTTGAAATTATTTCCACGCCATCATGTCAGCCTTCGACAATACATAACACAATAATAAATATTATAGAAATGTTATATTACAGAAACATCGTACTTGAAAGCTCTTATGCTCGAAAAAGTTGCACGGTGTCTACCGGGCTTTAAAGACGGGAGTTGTTGTCGAGCGATTAAGCGATTAACGATGATGCTAAAGTAAAAATAGCAAATTGCGGTGTAATGGATTCCTTTTACACGAAACCATTAGTATTATGCACGAGTAACGCAATTAAGACTGTTAATTGACATCGAGAATGTTGTTATTGAACGCTTCCAAATAAGTTCTCGTGTTTAATTTAGTCGATTAGTAATAAAAAAAAATTACTCGGTTTGTAAATATTATCAATACGCTAGAGAGCAAATGGTGTCGCTTCCTATTTTACAGCGATTCAGAAATAACAAAAAAGCCATGTATTATAAAATTTTGCCGTTGTTACTAACAGTAACAATAAAGCAATATAAACTAACCAAAAGACTTCACAAACGAAGTGAGGGCGAGAAAAAACTGTGAAAATCCCTAAAATGCTCACGGGTTGTGATGAAAAAAAAAATTACGGTCATCACTTTGACGAAATTTTTAACAAGACTTGATCTTAGACCTTATCTTCAAGGTCCACCCGTTCAGATTTTGGAAGCAAATATATGTAGAAGTTATTTTTAATAAAAAACGTTTGACTTTTTTGAAAATAATTATATATTAAATAAATAAATTAATTAATTAAATATGTTTTTTTTGCATTATGGTATATTTATTCTCTAATCGCAATAGTTCGTTACAACTAGTTGTTGCGATTAAAGGCCTAGGGTGTTGAATGTCTAAGAAAAAAATTTTTTTACAATAATTTGCAAACTACTCCAGATATTTCATTGACATTTCGTACACTGACATCAAGCAGCTAAATTTTTAAAAACATTTTTTCGTAATCAAAACTTTACAAAATAATTTGATACTTTAATGTTTCAACATTATTTTGGTGATTTCAGCATGTATGAAAATGTTTTTTTTTTAATTTTATTTACTTGAAAACGGTGCAACGTTTGTAGATATCGAATTTCTTTCAAATCGAATGGGTATATCAAAAATAATTTTTATTTTAGGGAAAAGCGGTGACGCACCATTATCTTCTTCAAAAATATTTCATAAACATCTGGCACGAATGTGCCCGTTTTTCAAAAAAGTATGAAAAAAATCCAAATTGGATATTTCTGTTATATCTGTTAAAGCAGATAGATGGAAATTAATTTCAGTGTTTGAAGCTGGATTTTCGTCAGTATAATATTTTCAGTCGAAAAATTGGTTTTTTATATCGATATATGGGACATTTAGTATATTTTTAAATACTCGAAAAGTACTTTCAAATTACCTTTCCAAAAATATAGCGTAAAATGTTAGCTTTAAAAAATATGTTATTTAAAACATTAAATTTTGCGTAAAAAAATGATTTGCAAATGTTTTAATAAACGTTTTTATAAAAATGTACATTTGCAAAAAATCTAACTCCCATCTGCATTAGTTTTTGTCGATCTCCCTTATATAGGGGAGTTTCCCTATAAAAGTGGCTATGAAATATTTAATTTGGTTTGAGAATTATGATAAAAAAAATGTTTTTTTTTTCTTGGAATTTTGAACACCCTGTATCTTGTGAAGGGAGCGTTATTTTTTATTCATTTTTATTTATCCGTGAAGGTTTTCAGTTAAAGATTAGGAAGGATGAAGCAAAAAATATCTGCGTTACCGCTAAATGGCAATTGGTTGCGAAGTAAATCGAATTTTTAATTATGCCTATTATTTTGTAACTTAGATTGCGTGACCGTGAAAATGACATTTTACTTTTCTCTATTTTTAATTACGCCGTTCTTTTTTTTAGTGCGTGTGTTCGACAATACACGAATTTAATTGCGAATAAAATGACCGTTTTCCTGATAAATGTTGTGTAAAAAATATAAAATTAACGCACCTATTAGAGAAAAGATACAACATTGATACAGATTGATACGCTAACAAAATTTTCGCAAAGATCGTTTTTAAAACTTTAAAAAATTCCTCTGAAATCCTGCAAAAGTGTCAAAATTTATACGGTCTAGGAATTATGTACATAGAAAACGACCTGTATAACCCCTTGTTTTTATGATGCAAGTAGTGGACGTCACTTTTACATCCTCCTTACGGCGATAGGACTCTGAATATTCAAAATGACCCAAATTTGCAACTTCGGATGGCGAAGAGCAGAGCAACAGAAATTACTTCCCGGGTGAAATTATTACAGGGTGGCTCAAATCAGCTCGTTATATACGAAACTTTTCGTTTGTTTTGTCGTCCCCCTGTATCGGCGGTTCAATTTATCTCGATGACATTTTGACCGACTGCAGCTTTGTTGTTTTTAAGAATATCTAAATAATAGGGGTAGTAGCCAAACCTTTTGGAATTTTTGAGGTCCAGCGACAAAGCCTCGGGGGCTCCAAATTCATTTGTGAACCCCATCTAAACATCATCAAAGTCGAACTAACATTTCCAGCGTATTCTCGTATGGATGATTCGGAGAAAGGTTTTAAGTAGGGGATTGATCTAGCTAATCAGTATGTAATTGCTTCCCTCCCGTGGGCGTCGTGATTTAGCACTTTTGTTTGAAATTTCTTAATTAAATATAACGAAAATAATAATTTTCAAAACTGTAATAGACAAGGTACTATCTGTCTTGGCTCCGCTATTGTCAGACCGAAAATTAACCGGAATTCATTACTTAAAACCTACCCGTAAATATTAAAGCACACCGCGCCTCTTCTGGATATGTCTGAGGATATCTGATTGACCATCCAACAGACCGGACTTTATATTAACATATTTCTTATTTTGGGGGCACATAAAGAATCAACAATAATTGCAGTTGCAATCAATCAGTTAAATACAGGAATATCGTGAATAGTAAAAGTTTTATTAAAATAGAAATCATTTATTTTTGTCGTTTTTTCATTCTAGTTCGAAAACAAATGGAACAAAATATAATTTCATTTGAATCAACCTATTCTATTGATTACGCGCGGAGATGTATATGTGGATAACCTGTAAATTTATCATTTTCGAGCTCTTTTCGATGTAAATTGTAAATTCCAATGGTTTTTGAGGCATGTTGTATATACTGAGCCCCGCAACTGGATGGACGTCGTAAAAGTGAAGGTCTTCCCTGCTTACTTAAACTAACGAGCATTCGGTATCTAGGTGATCCTGACACAAAACCCCCAAGTGGTCCACGGCGCCGTGCTCTTCGTCGCCATGTTGTATTTGTCGTGCGTGCATCTGCACCGTCAGTGCTTCGCTGACTCCTCTTACGGCCTGGACATCAGCGGTCCCTTGATGGTCATCACTCAAAAGGTCAGCAGTCTCGCGTTCAGCCTCCACGACGGCCTGGTGAAGAGGGAGCGCGACATGACGCCGTCCCAGAAGCTTTACGCTATCAAGAAGGTGCCCAGCCTGTTGGAGTTTTTCAGGTGGGTGTCTAGGTGGTTTCATATATCGCACTTTTTGTCGCGCCTTTCTTGGGGTGTTAATTTATAAAATTAAACCATATTCCTGGAATAAATGAATCCCGATATTTTTCAGATTTTGTTCGGCCCTTTGTAATAGATAATGAAATTTCAATAAAACCCTGTGCAAATTAAAGCGACGGGGTTCACTTTTTCTTTAGTCGAGGTAACTTCTAGCAATTACTTGTGACTGCAGGAAGTATTGTTATAATTTTGGATGGAATTAAGGAAAATTTTGTGGTAATAAGTAATTCAAAACACGACAATTAGAGTGTAAAAATAGAAAAAATGGTGTACGTACGTAGGCGGAAGGGTATAAACAAAAACTGTAAAGAAAGTGTACCTGGTTAACTGAAACTAGTTTGCAGTTAAGCTCCGAAGGAGCCGATTGGCGAAACATCAGCAAGTTCTATTAATTAACAACCGACGCAGGCAAAATTGTTATTGCAACATCAATTAAGAACAAGTCGGTTCGGAAGAACTATTTTGCTGCCTCCGGTTTTTAGATGCAGACAGCTACTATTGGACTCAGGAAGAGAAGTGTCTCAGCCGATATCTCTCGTTTTAGTAACAATATGTTCGAAAAAGCTGCTTTTGGCTTCAATCTGCTTGAAATCAAAAAGAAAAAGATCTGACACAGAAAGTAACGTTTAAACTTCATATCTGCAGGTCTGATTCCGTTTATGTTTCAATAAGTCTCGGAAAAGTTAATTTTTACTTGAATCTTATCGAAATCAAGTTGGAAACCCCAAGAAGAGAGGTTTTTAGTTAGTTAGGTTTAGGTTTTGGTAACAAAAAACTGACTTTGGCGGCAATCTGCGTGAAATTAACATGAGAAAGGTACTATCTGACACAGAAAGCAAGGTTTTAAACTGCTATCTACAGGTCTGATTCCGTTTTCGTTCTAACAAATCAAAAAGAAAAAGGTATTATCTGACACAGAAAGTAAGATTTAACGCTGATATCTGCAGGTCCGATTCCGTTTTGACTTGATCTGATCGAAATCACGACGAAGAAGCTAATATTTGACCCAGGAAGAGAGGTTTTAAATTGATGTAGTTTGATGTAGATTTTGGTCCACTATGAGACCATGAAGTCTTGTTTCACCGGAATCTTCGTAATAAAAAAAATACTATTTGACCCAACAAACGGATACCTGCACGTATGATGTCGAAATCATAAAATAGAAGATACTATTTGACGGAGGAAGAGAAGTTTTTCACGTTATCTCTGAAGGTTTGATGTAGATTTGGTAACATTATGTCTCGAAACAACTGGTTGCAATCTGATTGAAATTAAGAACAAAAAGGTACTATCTGACACAGAAATTAAGGTTTTAAGCTGCTGTAGGTCTGATTCCGTTTTGGTTATAACAAGTTTCGGAAAAGTTACTTGTGACTTTAATCAAAATAGAAAAGTTAGTATTTGACCCGGTCAGAGAGGGTTTAAGTTGGTATCTGCTAGTTTGATGTCGATTTCGCGAGAAAATGAGGCGGTAAAGTCGATTTTCAGTGGAATCTGATCCAAAAAAAACTGCTATTTGGCATCAAACCTGCCGATATCAGCGTAAAACCTCTACTCCTGGGTAAAATGGTTTTTCTTCGTTATTTTAAACAGAATTCAGTCAACGAAACGTATTGTACCGTATTTTCTGCTTGTTTCGATAATATTTCAATCAAAATCGACATTTTATTATAACGAAGGCGGCACTAAACCTGAAAATACAAGTTTGGAACCTAACTTTCTGGGACTGTTTACGATAACAGGCGTTTTCGTTGGTCGAAAAACCGATTTCGACTAGAATCGATGACAGTAGTGAAACTTGGTCGGTGGTTGAGAAAATTGGCTGTAGTTTTTGATGGAATTTGTAAGGGCGAAGGTCTTGCTGACTCCCCGAATCTATTCCAGCTACTCCATGATGTTCCCGTCGCTGATGGCGGGCCCGGTCATATTCTACAATGACTACATTGCGTTCATAGAGGGCGGCATGTGTGCCGGTACGAAAAAACCGCCCCTCGACGCGAAACGGGTCATCTTGCGCGATCCTAGCCCGGCAAGGGCGGTCTTCCGAAAAGTGTGCGCGGCGGTGGTCTGCGCCCTGGTCTTCGTCCTTTTCCTTCCCACATTTCCGATATCCAAAATCAAAGAAGGCCCGTTCGTCGACGACACTAGTCTCGGCTACAAATTATGGTACCTGACGGCGGCCACGGCCGTAGTACGCGCCAAATACTACTTCGCTTGGTGTCTAGCGGACGCGGCCTGCAACAACGCCGGGCTAGGTTTCTCCGGGTACTCCCCCGACGGTACGCCGCTGTGGGATAGGTTCTCGAACGTCGACATCGTCGGGTTCGAGTGCGGCACCAGCTTGAAGGAAAGCATCGACTCGTGGAACAAGGGTACCAACCGTTGGCTGAGGTTTTTAGTGTACGACAGGGTGAGCAGTCGCGCCACCTTGCTGACGTTCGCTCTCAGCGCCATCTGGCACGGTTTCTATCCCGGGTACTATTTGACGTTCCTAGGGGGCGCACTGTTCACGTTCGCGTCGCGCACGGTGCGCAGGCGCGTTCGAGACCATTTCGCGGCGTCCCGCGAGTCGAAGTTGTTTTACGACACTTCGACGTTCGTCGCGACTCGCCTCGTAATGGCTTACGTCACGTATCCGTTCGTGTTGCTCGAGTTTTGGCCGAGCGTCGTCCTCTACAACAAGCTGGGGTGGTTTTTGCACGGCGTCGCGGCGGCCTTGGTCGCCTTCGGCCCGCGCCTGATCCCCAAGTACGAAGATGCCGGGAGGAAGAACGAAATAGCGATGGTGTTGAGGAGGGCGGGGCCTTATTCGGACGCCGTGGGCCGGATCGACTGATTTTTTTATTTGTTTCGTTACGTTGTAGATGAATGTCTTGTTGATTGGCTTCCGCGTTTTTTGTTGCCAATGGCCAATATTGAGAGCCCGGTGGAAACGACGTAATTTCTCAATTTGTTTACGTTAATATTGCAACCTATAGATTTAACCTTTACAAAAAATGTAAATAAAGTCAAAATCACGAAAGATGACACTTCAAAGTGCAAACAAAACTCAGCGACGCTCGGGGAAAATTATAAATTATGTTTAAAAAAATGTTTAAAAAACTTAATTTGAATTTGTAACCTAAATGTAGGATAATTTGGTTGTAAAAGATGAATATGATTAACAAAAAATATGCCAATAAACATTTTGTTTAAAAAACTGCGAGAATTGCCAAATTTATGCGGAAAAATTAGGAATTAGTATAAAATCATCAGTTCATAAACAATTCGATTAATGAAATGTAAGAGAATTGCACGGAAATTAGTTAACAAGTTATTATATGCTTGGTAAAAACAATTTCGTACAAAGTTTTGATATTTAACACTAAAAGGTTTGCATCAAAATTTAAAAAACAACCTTAAAAATGCCATACATTTTTAACAGCAATTTTTATATGTTAAAAATACATGCGGAAATATGTATAGAAATTGTATCGTGTCTACCGGGCTTTAGAGAATCCTTTGCGTGAAAATGTCTACTCCCATGGATTTACAATAAAAATTTGATAATCGCGATACTAAATCTTAAACAAGAAAAAAAATTTGCAGCCAAATATTAAAATATACATTTACGTCGTTTTAGTTTTTTTGTAATATATTTTATTAAATTAAAATTTATAACGTGTTATGTTGTTATTGTATACAGGGTAGCGCATAACTTATCCTCCATAGAGCAACACGTGATACTATAAGCGAAGAAGCTTTGTTCAATAAATGTTAGCCGTTAAAAAAATACAGGGCGTTCATTTTCAAACGATAGTTATAATTTCAGGATATTTACGGAGTGTTTAAGCGCCCTCTAGGAATTATTTTTACACTAATACGAAATCCGATTTATAACGATCTTCGAAAACGCTAGTAAACTAATTTTGAATTTGATATATGATATCTCCCCCCACGTTAAAATTATTGTAATTTTTCGAAATTTAAGTTTCAATTTCAAAGCCGTGTGTCTTTTTGACGATCAACATTTCGCATCGCATTTGTCGAACAAGTCGTTTTGGTCGGATTTATTGTTGCCTTTTAGCAGATAAGTTATGAGACACACCGTATACGTTAAAGAAATATTTATTTAATGAAAGGTTCCGAACTAACCGATTTGGTTACCTTAAATACGGATTAAAATTATTTTACCCCACGAATTTTTTATTGTTTAGAAAAAGTCAACAAGTTAAAGTAAAAATTTGGACTTGCGCAGAGTTCTAAAGCAACAACAACAACAAATATTTTTATCGCCTGTTACCCACTTAGTGTAAAAAAATAATAAATCTTTATATAAATGTATGTATAAAACAGGATATTAAAAAAAATATTACGAACTTACGTTTTTTTTTATCCTTTATTTTTTGAATTTGCTGTCAGTTCGAGACCGATTCACTCTGCTAGTTATATACACACCATATATATAGTGTCATTCACTTAAGGTTGAATTTCTTTTAAAATTCTTCAACTTTTTTATTAATTATAATAATGGGTGTTTTTTTTCGATGTATAGAACTTCAAGTTGGCATTACTGTTCAAGATGGCTACCGATTTAACAGATGGCAAGTGATTTATTCTCAGTTTGGTTTGGCAATTCATCATGAATAGACTCACGCCTGAACAACGCTTGCAAATAGTGCAATTTTATTTCGAAAATAATGGTTCTGTGCGGAAATACGTATCGCCCACTACGTCCACTTTATAAGATTTTGAGGAAGGATCTTGGTTTACGTGCTTACAAAATCCAACTCGTGCAAGAATTGAAACCAAACGATCATCAAGTCGTCAACGTCGAATGGGCCCAAAACGAGATTGCCCTTCTTCCCGATTTTCATAAGCGAATTTTGTTTAGCGATGAAGCGCACTTCTGGTTGAATGGCTACGTCAACAAACAAAACTGCCGCATTTGGAGCGAAGCTAATCCTCAAGTGTATGTCGAAACACCGATACATCCAGAAAAACTGACTGTTTGGTGCGCTTTATGGGCTGGTGGAATCATTGGTCCGTACTTCTTCTTACAGTCAATGGTGATCGGTATAGAGCTATGATTACTACTCTTTCATTCCTGAATTGAATAACCATGATGTCCAGGAGATGTGGTTTCAACAAGACGCGCACACAGCTCGTGCTACAAGACACGTTTGGTGCCCGCCTAATTTCACGTTTTGGACCTGTGAATTGGCCTCCAAGATCTTGTGATTTAACACCCCTAGACTACTTTCTGTGGGGCTATGTAAAGGCATTGGTCTATGCGGATAAGCCACAAACGCTTGACCATTTGGAAGACAACATTCGCTGTGTTATATACGGCCACAAATGTTGGAAAAAGTCATCGAAAATTGGATGTCCAGAATGGACTACATCCGCGCTAGCCGTGGCGGTCATATGCCAGAAATCATATTTAAAATGTAATGCCACAAGATTATCTTTCGGATAAATAAAATTCATGTCAATCGAATAATCCATTGTTGTTTTATTGCAACTTAAAGTTCTATGCATTGAAAAAAAAAACACGCCTTATATACCTATCCCAAATTTCAAAATATTTTAATTTTTCTAAAAAAATACTAGATTTTATTATTTTTAAAAGTAGATCACTCATATTTGATATTAGGGTTATTCGAGGATAATGTAAAAGACATATGAAACGAAATGTTTTGGCTTTGGTTTAATAAAAAATTTGGAGAATTTCAAAAACGAATTTTAAAAAAAATTATGTTTTATTCGTCACGTTTTTCTGAGCCACGCTGTCTCAACAGTCAACAGTCTTGTATTTAACATTTTTTCGTAATTTTTAGGTTGACTCGCCCTGTACAATACCCGGAACCGGTAGTATATATAAAATTTCATGATGACCACACAATCTTCAATCGTCATACAGCATCATAACAACAAAAGATTTGGTGGGGCCATTAGGGACAGTTCTGGGCCGTTCTGGGGCCGTGAGTCCGCGATGCTGTAGATTTAAAGTATTTTTGTATCACCATTTTTATGTCATTCTCATGTGACTATGGGAAATGCACCATCTTATTTGTAAAGTGGGCTAGGGGTAGGGGCCGATAAATGTGTGTTACCCCCCGCCCCCCAAGGCTCCACGCAACTGGCTAGGACAAAGTGCACAGTGAATTCAGTCAGCTTATAATTAGTTTTATTCCCATCATCAAGTGTAAACCCTATATTCAAAAGATACTCTCGGGTTAATAAAAAATATTCTTTTGAATACGATAAAATTAACCTATATTTTTTTGAAAACAATATTTGATCGTATGCATAGGAATTCATGTGTCCTGTGCGGATTTAGCACCCCATCTACGTCCTGTATCTTTAAACACCAAGCACCCCTTTTCCTAATTCATATTCGGATTATACCTATCTAGTATCGACTGTCAAATAACAAAGTATACAATTTGACCGTCTGCTACATCCAGATCCCTCGCGAGACGAGACTCACCGAGTCTCACGCCTTTCGGGGTTTTCGGCCATTTGAATATTCGAACGGTCTTCTTGCAATATTTGCGGATTTTCTCGACGAAAGCCCACTCGAAAACCGACTTACCGAACACCAGCAGGCTTTTAGTCCGGCTGTCTTCGTCGACGAACGTCGATACGGAGCACGTATAATTTCCCGATAATTCCACTCCTACTCTGGTGATGAGCAGCGCTCTGTGTTGACTGAACGGCCCCGACGCGGCGACGTAATCCAAATTGAGTCTGCCTTTTAGTACGCCTGGAATAAAGGAATTGACGGCTTCGATGTCCGGTTTTTGTTATTTCACATAGATTTGTACGTGGCGTCCACTGCGCCGTCGTTCCCAGACGCATTTAAGCAAAATGTACCATTATACTGTAAGTCTGGTAGTATATGTAGATCTCCTTGGTTTATGGATGCTTCTTTTTATATACAGTGTGTCCGGCTTATGAAACGTACACCCTTGATAAATATTTGTTTATGATTCAATATATATTTTTTTGTTGGATGCACTAAAATATTGTTTTGCTTATAGCTTCAACTTAAAGTCACGACCTATTTAACGAATTATTTAACAAAAGAGAGGGATTTGAAAAAAATATATGGGCAACGAATTCTTATTTAGGAGTACCCAATCCAATTATACCAATTTTTATAGTGTTTCAATACAGGGTGTTTTAAATATAGTTCTACGCCCCGCTTAAAGGTGTACATCGTTGTAAAATCTTTGATTATGGTTTGATTTTGATAATTTGTGAATTGTTGGATAAATCTCCCAAAGACGCACTAACACCTTATGCTTGTTACCTGAGGTCATGGCTATCTGGGTCTAATTTTTGATGTCAAATATCGAGAAGGACTATTAGGGACTTCTTTAACAATAAAGTGTCCACGAACTCTTATTCAGGACTATATAAAATCTAAGTATACTAATTTTGATAGTTTTGTTTTGTTGGACAAATTTCACTGAAAGACGCTAACGATATTCTTAAAATTAAATATGACTAGAGGGGATTAAACATGAACTAAACAGATTTTACAACGCTGTCTTTTTTTTAATTAAAAACATTTTTAAATTTCATCTAATAATTTGCAAAACCAAGTTTGCGATGGAAAAGCGAATTTCTTGTCTTGTCTATCATTTTTTTTGAAATTTGTATAATTAAAATTTGTAATATCTTAAAATCACATGCAAAGTAATCGTTATTTACAGAGTTTACGATATTTATTTTTTTTAAGCATTAAAACTTTGGTCATTGGTCAGTTACTCTTAGGTAGTCCTAAATACGAATCTGTTGTCATTTTCGATTTGAAAAAATCTCTAAAAATACTTCTCGATTTTCTGCTTCAAAAAATTTTGTCAGACTTTAGTCGATGCTAGTATGATCTATCCAGTAGAAAAGAATTAACAAAATTGAGCCACATACAAACATTCTACGAGAGTAATGCCTAAGCAAACTTCATGGAAAATATTATTGTTAGGTTTTATGTAATCCTGAATAAGAATTCGTTGATACTTTATTCTCAGAGAAATCCCTAATAACCGTTTTTGATATTTGACATCAGAAATTAGTCCCAGTTAGCCGTGACTTTGGGCTGAGTAAAAAGAAATATGAAGTATTTGTGCGTTTTTGAGAAATCTAACCAACAAAAAAAATTATCAAAATCAAACCGTAATCAAAGATTTTACAACGCTGTACTTTTTTAGTATAAAAGATTTGTTATTCTCTTCTAATAATGAAAATAACAGAAATATCAAAATTGAATGTCGGCAAATAAAACCAAGTTTGCCGTGGAGAACCGAATTCGACTGTCAAATTCCTCGCAAATTAATATTTTAATTTTGTTTACACTATACTTTTCGAATACTAAGATTTATTAACGCTGTTGTTTTAAGATTGTACTAGAAAATCGGTATCCCTAAAAAAGTCTTTTTATCATTATTTTTGAAATTTGTATAATTAAACTGTGTAATATATTAAAATCACATACAAATTATACGTTATTTACAAGGTTTACAATATTTGTTTTTTTAAAGCATTAAAACTTTGGTCATTGGTCAGTTACTTTTAGATAGTCCTGAATACGAATCTGTTGCTATTTTCGATTTGAAAAAACCTCTAAAAGTAAACTGTGTCAATTAGCCGTGATGTTTGGTCGATGCTTTGCGAAAAAACTGTTTCATTTCTCTTTAGTATGATCTATCCAGCAGAAAAAAATGAACAAAATTGAACCATAAACAAACATTCTAAGTACTGCTTAATGGAAAATAGTATTGTTAGGTTGTTAGTGTGTTAGTGCATTAATTATTAAAATGAAACCGTAATCAAAGATTTTCCAATGATGTACAGTCTTAAACGGCGCGTAAACGATATTTCAAACACCCTGTATTGAAAAATTATAGACACTGCTATAGTTGGGTTCTAAGTACTCCTGAATAAGAATTCGTTGCCATTTTTTTTAAATCCCTTCATTCTCTTTAGTGCAGTTTTTCGGAGATCTATCAAACAAAAGAAAAATCATCAAAATCAATCCACAAACAAAGATTTCGCAAGGGCGTACAGTTCTTAAGTGGGACACCCTGTATAAGAAATCAAAAAATTGTACCTAGCTCTTGCGGTTTGCCGTAAGGGATCCACTGGTACACCGGGTAAGGGTTTTCGTTGAAAAACCATTTCACCACGAGTCCATCGTCTTTTTGACCGTCTACGCTATAGTCGCAGTCCAAGATCGCCGACTGGCCTTGCTTGACCACCTCCGGAACCGCCAAGTGGTTAATTCTTACGGACGAGATCAGCGAGAGGTCTACAAGAAAACATTTCTTTGAAAACTTTAAGTTTCTAATAGTGGTACTTTCAAGAAAACGTCTTAATTACAAAGGATATTAAAAAATAACTTTAGTTTCATTACTATATATATTAAGGGTACAAGGAAAAAACTAAAATAAATAAGAACTAAAAGTTCAGATTTTCACGATATTATATATATTCACAAAGTCTGAGATACTGACGACGCTCTGCGGTCGCACTTTTATAATTCAAAAAGTATACTTGAAGCATATCGTTTTAACAATAATGACTTGGAAACGTTGTTTACTAATATGTCACACATAAACATATTTTTATTTGTCAGTCACTCTGAAAGTTTATAAGAATTTCTTATTTTTGCCAATTTGTCAAAAACGAATGGACTAAAATATAAAGTGTGTTACATTATTGTAATCGGAATAAGGTATGTTATTAAACACATATATAATATACAGGATGTTTTGTTTTAAAAAATATGGTGTAGTCATATATGTCAGAAAATTGATAGAGTTTTGTTTTATATGTCACTTGGAAAAAAACTTGGCTACTAATCCTACATTTTGTTTTTTTGTTTACCTCGATATCTCTAAAAACAAAAAAGTTACAATCAATTAAAATAATATCAAGATAAATTGAACGCACGGTGAGTCAACAAAAAAAATTAAAAAGTTTAAATAAATCGCAAGTTATTTATAATAAGTATATAACATATTTAATATAAGTTGTAGGTTTTGGTAAAATCTTGCAGAAAAAATAATAATGATATAAATGGTCATTTAAAAAAATCATATATATCTTTTATGTCATCTTCGAATAACGCTAATATCAAACGTGAATGATCTATCTTATGTGTGTATTATGAATAAAACTGTTAAAGAATGTTAAAAGTGTTCTATTAGAAGGAATGTATGTTTTATTCGTCACACTAAAAATAATCTCTCCATCTCTCCATTAACATTTTGTAAGCAGTAACTTTTATGACGCAATCAAAGGCATTTGTGCATAAATATCAATTAAACAGTTTCGTAAATAATAATAAAAAAACTATTAATACAGAACTGTATCTTTTGATTAACAGCCTGGTTGGTTAGTGTTTTTCGGAACACCCGGTACACGCGCTCACCTAAAATGAAACTCAAAGTCAAAATTCGAGACGACGTCATTTTCACCGAATCAAAACGCTCCCGCACCGACCACTATCGAAACTACTTTCCGTCGACTACGTCACATGTCACACGTCATTTATTTTTCCCGCCAAGTAAGCAATTTCGTACGACGCAAAGTCGGAAACAATCGCCGGTCGCGCTAAAGTTATTCCGAATTTGATAATTTCGCGTGCATACACGTGTGTCCACGTGCCCGATCCAGAACCTAACGGGAAGTCGCGAGACCGATCCCGGAAGACGTCGCAAACGTTACTGGAGCGCATCCAGAAATAATCCCGCGTTCCCGATATCACGCGCGCACGCTGCACCGAAAGTTGATAACTTTTACGTCCCTCTTCTGACCTCAGAATAACCCAGCAGACAGAAGCGACAAAAACAGTGAAATAGCATTGTTTATAAGGCTAACAAACACGATTAAATTAGAACAAAAAATTATTTAAGGATTTGACAGCTGTAACAGCACCATCAGTTAAATTCTCGACAAGATTAATAAACATTTAAGAATATCATATTGCCTTTAGACTTGGATATGTTATCAAAAATTCGTTCGAACTAATTAACAAGCTTAAAGATATTAAAATTCCTCCCGAGGGAATTCTAGTTTCATTTGACGTCCAAAATCTATTTCCTAGCATTATTTTGAATTTAATGGTCAATTCTGTATTGCTTAAAAATAGTACGCTAGAAAATGTCATACATAAACCTCCTCTGAGTAAAGGATTTCTCTGGTGGTATAGATACGTAGATGATGTTTTTGCTTTTATTATTTTATTTACCATAGCGACGGAAATAGATAACTCTTGAAACTAACTAAACTACATTACAAATTAGATTTTTCCATTTACCATAAACCATCACACACTTACACAATAATAAATAATAACTCAAACCACCCTCACATACACAAAATGGCTGTCTTTTATGCTTGTTTCCACAGACAACTTAATGTACCACTTTCCACAGAAGTTTTTGAAAAAGAATTAAGCATTATAAAATAAATAGTTTTTTTCTACTCCCGCCCGTCAAATACCTAATTACACACCGATCCAGCGTGCGGGAAGCGTCAGTTTACCACGTCAGTTCGGACATTTCCGGGATTTTACCGCACGGACTTCCCACGCCTTGAATTTTGACGTTTGTCAATTCTGACGGTCATGTCAGAGAATGTATTCGTTTTTTTTGCGACAATGTAGCCAAAAACTAACTCGTTTATTAAAAACTCGTGAGTCAAATGACGTTTACCGCACTTGTTGCATAATATACTATTTACAATGGTTACGACCTTTCTTTGATAGCTAAGATTATAACTAAAAAGTAGTTTCAAATAATTCTGAACTCCATTTGTCGCATATTAAACACCGAACCTAAAATTTATAAAACAATGAAAATACAAAGGAGAACCTAGCAAAAAAATTTTGAAGCATCTATCTAAATTTGTCCTTAGGATTGCTAATAAGACTTAAGACACTATAGGTTATTTTTAAAAAAACGGTAAAACTGGACAAACAGGTAGAACATTTAGGAAACGCATTAACGAACCTAAAAGAGCGTATAAAAATAAAAATTCGGATTCTAACTATGCTATTCATTTAAATTCAGAAATGCACAAGTTTGACGGCAATTTTGATGTTTTACATAAACAACCAAGAAGCAAAAAATTAAATTGGTTGGAAGCTACGGAGATTAAGAAAATGACATATTCAACACTATTACTTAATAACCAACTGGATTTAAACGAGTCCCCGTTGTTAAATTTAAATTTTGAACCCTACATCGATAATTAAAAATCTATTACAACCTGTTTAAATATATGCAAATGTCGGAATATTGTCACATTTTTTGTGTAAATTTAATTGTGTTAAATGGATTTTCATCAAGTAAAAGCCACTCTGGTCCAAGGGTAACAAATCTCTGACGTCCCGTTTGAAATACGTGACGTTGGTCCAGCAATGTACACTGAGAAAAGTATATTGGATTCTACACTGAGAAAATGTTTATTAAAAAATATGATATAAATAGCTTTGTTAATATAAATGTAAACAAACTTCATAATGCAGAGTGCGAAGGGCAGATCAATTACCACCACTCAAATTTTACGTTTTCTTTTAAAAGTTCTTAAAGAAAAATAAATAAAATGAACGAATGAACACTCGACACATAAAGACCTGCGAGCTGCCCGGTAGAGACAAAAAGTCGGTTAAATTAGTCGGTAAAAACTAGTAGCATTTTTCCACTAATTACAATGGCGAAAATCGAAAAACAATTGGATGTAGGGTTTAGGAGAAAATGAGAAAAATGTACTTTTTTGTATGTACACCCTGTATAGTTTTTACTATAACGTTCGTAAATTCCCAACAGAACAAAAAAGTTCAATTTTAGACTCGATGGCTATGAGTGGTGGCGAAATAATAATAATAATAATAATAATAATAATAATAATAATACATTTATTATGCTGCATTAAATATACAAGACAATAAAATATCATGCATAATTGCAGAAAAGGAGATGAAAGCAATTAAAAATAAAAAATTAAGTTCGGCCCCTATAAAATTATACATATCAACTACTTCTTCGCTTAAGTAACACACAATTATGGCAAAATACTATGGTATACGAGGTGTGTTAAAAAAGTGAGATTTTTAATTTTTATGAAAACGTATTTATTTATTTATCAAAGTTAATGTTGTCCCCTTCAAAGCAATCGCCTCCAGGTATAATACGCTTGTGCCAACGTTTTTTCTAATCTTCGTAGCGCTTCTTGTAAGCACCTACCGCTATAGTCTTGAGTTATTCCAGTGATATTTTCTTTCTCTACTCAGTCGTTCCAAACCTGCTTGCTTTCATGGGTTTTTTGAGTTTTGGCAACAGGAAACAGTCGCAGGGGACCATATCCGGTGAATCTGGTGGCCGAGGCATGATTGCAGTTTCGTTTTTGACCAAAAAGTTAGACACAAGCAACGATGAGTGAGCAGGTGCATTATCGTGCATTATTAAAAAAAAACGGTAAGCAAAACCTTGATATTTGATTGCACATATCGTGCTTTTTTCGGTGTTCTGGGTTCTTCCATTGGGACGACTGGGCTTTGGCTTGGACGTCATAACAATATACCCATATCAGAATCACCATTGACGTAGTTTAACACCTCTTGAGCAATGCTCGTTCGACGGCCTTTTTGTTCCAAATTAAACTGTTTCTGAAGAAATTTTATAAAAAAAACTAACTAAGCATTGGAAAAAGGCATGGCAGTTAAGTTCGAAGATTTTTTAGCACCATTTGTTTCACTTCTTCTACACTTTTATCAGTTATCGAAGTGCTGGGGCGTCCAGCTCGTACCACTTAAAAATGTTTTTTTGCTCAAAGTAGATTCTCCATATGCTGTTGTCAACATTTCAAGTGTTTTGACAGCAGAAAATCGCAGAGCACACAAAACACGTCTAACACTTCAGTCTCGTAAAAATCTGCTGAAACTGTGATCATATGTTAGGGACTTGTGCAGTAACAACAAAAAAATATATTGAAGATCGAATGTACGTAGGCCAATTACAAAAATCACCTTACTTTTTGAACATACCTCGTATAATATATAGAAAAGAAAAAAATCAATTTAATTTCCTTTTAAAACGTAATGGTGATGGGACTTTAAAGGAAGAGGAATGGGATCGTTAAGTTTATAGATATTGCAGGAAAAGTTTCTTTGAAAGAGACGCGTCCTGGAGGATGGATCTAAGGATTCAACTGTGAACACCAAAAAAAACAAGAGTTTAAATTAGATATTCCCCGTTTTTTTTTTTTTTTTGAACTACTGCTGCGAAATACAGCGCACACCCCTGACTGTTTTTCGTTAATTTGTACCCGAGAGTCGGCAAGGCAGCTCAGTCACGCAGCAAGCCGACCGGCCTAAAATTTGATTGGATTACTAACCAATTCCTACTTTCTCCGTTTCCCTGACCATAGGGCACACCTCCGGGGGATTGATTCAATACGATTAAAGAGCCCATTAAAAGCTTGTTACGACTTGCAAGTGCCTATTAGTGCCTTCGAAATTGTCACCCCTGCGTGCGTTTCGATCTCATTTCCTATACGGGGCGGCCCCCCCCGCCTCTCCGACGAACCTTTCGCGTGAAAACCTCAACCTAATTTGATCAGGACGTTAATTTTTACGGGAACGCCATAAAGGGAGTCTCGCATATCGACAAGTTAAGGGAACGAGCCGATTTGACGGACAAAATAAGTCGAAAATAACTCGCAACGCATCGCGCAACCTGCATAACCTCATTGTATGATTTTTTTTTTCACATCGAGAAAATTTTTTGCACATCCATTTAGAAATTTTGTTATTATCACTACTAAGGGACATAAAACTGTAGAAATCGCTAATTTATGTCTAAAGGGAAGATCTTATATATGACTGCAAACGTTAACAAAAGCGGTACATAAATTGGTATCACATTTTTAAGTAAATTCAAAATAGGAAAAAAAATATTTTGGATTTGTCTTGCCATTTTTGTTGAGTCAGTAGCATGTAGATTACATCGCAGAAAACATACATCGGAAATACTATATTCATTATGCTTTATTTTTTTTAAATATTTACTGGTGCGTGAATGCACCACTGGTTTTATCTGTGAAACAAAACTTTTGTTATTGCAATTCTAGACAAGTCAGCGCATGTAGAATAAACATCCAACAATTAGCGTGTTCTTTAGTATTAGTTTGTGCCTTCCGCAGTGAACGTTACAGTTCGTAAAATATATATAAATATATATAAAATTCAAAGCGTGGGAAATATCTCCGAACACATCCGATTGCTCCCAAACCCGTGCGGTAATGTCACGGAAATATCCGAAGTGGCTCGCAGCTCGTAAAATATGGCATTTCCGAGGTATTTGACTCAAAAGGAATTAGAGACGGCTATGGAGGAGATCGTGATGGATGAGGACAACAAAATGAAAGTCGAGAGTATTATTTGGATTTACGTATTCTTACGTATTGTTGCATTCCATTCCTTGCAAATTGATGGTAAAAATAACGTGAAAAAATATTTACAGAACATATTGACGCGGCCTATATGACTGACGAAGAAGATATGAACGATAACATAAATCTACAAGAGTTTGGAGAACCAACTGATATAGTTGGAACTTTCGAGTTACATACATCGAATGATACAGCTGTCCTTCAACAGTCC